CAAGGCCCCAGAAGATTTCGTGCCCTTTTCCTGGTTCAAAGATGACCTCCTTCTTGTTACATCTTCACATGGTGAAAGGAGTGGGGGAGCTTTCTGGGGGTCTCTTTTATATGGGCACAAATCCCATTCATTTACAGGGGCCCCAATCTCATTACCTAATCACTTCCTTAGGGCCCAAACTCCAGATATCATCTCACACTGGGGATTAGGTTTAAGCGAGAGAATTTTGGCACCCAGTGTGCAGTGATTTGCAGCAGTCCCAGGAAAGGAATTCAGCAGGAATGTGAAACCAAGCCCCTCCAGTACTGGCCCATCCCTTCATAGTGACCTGCCCACACTCTGTGGTCACTGTTTCCCCCTGGACCTCATAGGCCACCCTGTGGGCAGAATCCAAGCTCTGGGTTCCTGGGTTCAAAAACCGAGGCTGCAAAGGTACTGAGTGAAGAAAACAAACATTGACAAGCACCTTTTAAAAATAGCACACACACAGTGACCAGGGATGGGCCTGGGGGCGGGGGTTGGGGAAGGTTCTACTTCTAGAACTGGTTGTTCTTTTTTATTATTTTTTATGCCGTCTTTCTTTTCATGTGCACATGACATGCTTTTTATTAAGAAGCATTTCACTCTTAAAGATTTTAATTCCTTTCTGTACCCAGCCCGACTCCCAATGCATTTTTTTTAAAGTTGGTTTGTGAAACCCAAACAAGCTAATAGTTCTAATCATCTTAGTATTTTTCCAAATACTTGCCAAAATCTAAGAAATGAACTCAGATGGTGTGGGCAGAGGCCTTACCCCACTAGATGACACCCTCACCTGCACCAGCAACATGAAACCAAGAGACTCTTAAGACACTTTCCCAAACGCTTCAGTATTTGACTGGTCTCCATCTCATGTCTGGTACAATCCCAGTGAAGAAACAAAACGAACAAGCAGCAGCTAAACAGTTCTTCCAGCCACTGTCTTCCTTTTGAGATCCCCTGTGTCAATGTCTCAGGATCTCCTCCTGGAACTCCAGGCCATGCCTGCCTCCCTTTCTCTAGCAAAGAACCCCCATCCCCATCCCCACCAGCAAAGTTTCCTGCAGAGCCTCAGAGAGAAAGGACTCCAATATTTCCTGGGTTGTACTTTAGCCAGACTGTGAAGGAGAAATGAAGTCTAAGATTTAGTAACCATCACCACCTTGAGGCCAGAACACCTCAGAGCTGGGTAGGAAGCAGGAAGTAATGTTCAAAAGGATCTCTAAAAAATTTTTTAAAATGATAAATGTTAAAAGAAAAAAACACACAAAATGATTTCTCAGGCTTCTTTCTCACTCATCAGATTGGAGAGAATAAATACTTGATAATAGTAGACCTGGCCACAGGGGAGAAAGCGGATACTCCACCTCCAGCTGAGAGACTGACTGCCTCTGTGGAGACATTAACCAATTAGGTGGACGCGCACTTTGACCCTGCTCCTCCAAGGACGGTCCCGCCCCGTAAAGATGGGAGGTGTGAGGTGCCTGTGTAATGCTGGAGCCCCACACACTTTCAAGGCCTATTTGCTAATTCGTGAATCCATCTATTCATTAACAGCTTGGTTTATAAAAGCGGAATATGGGTGACAACTTAAAAAACCATCAGCAAGGGACTGATTACAAAACTATCAAATAGGCATAACTATTTGATAAAATCTGATGCAAATTTAGTAGTGATTTAAGGTGTGTGTGTGGGGGGCAGATACATACTCCTCCACCATGCCATAGACTATCTCTGGAAGGAAACACAAGAATTTGCTAAAAAACAAAGGGGGTGCTGCTCAGCTTTTACTGCATGCTTGCTTATACTGTTTGATTATTTTTTTAACCATCTACATCATCTACATCAGTTACATCAATTGTCAAAATGTATTTATATAATTACATATGTACACATAACAGATATATATACATATACATTAAAATGTATATACAAATGTATACAAATACGTGTATAGACATATACAGCACACATCTATCTACCTACACACGTGGACACACATATTTCAAATGACTTTTTGAATTTGGACAGAAAAAGCCATTGGTTTCAGTTTCTATAAGAGAAGTTCAAGGTGACATGCCCCTCTGGAACATTCTAACACATCTTAGCAGGGAGACAGGAAGGGAATAATAAGAGGCACTGTGCAAACCTTATAGGAAAGGGCTTAGGGTTACTTGCTTAACAATCATATACTTTCAAAGTATACTCCAGGGAACTTGAAAAAAACATGCTTCCTATCCCAGCACAGGCTTCAGCTTTGCAGTTTAGCTCTAAGAGGCTGCAACATTAGCTCCCTCACATCAAAGAGTGTTTCCTTACTCTTCCAGTTTAGTGGCTTCAGGTGCCCAAGGAGCCAACTCCTGTCAGTGAGGGACCGCCATCGGCAAGAGCTGGGGCCAAAGTCCACCAAGTCCCCCCAGGTGACCCTGAGGCTGGGTACTGTAGGTGTTGAAGCCCAAGTCCTGCCCCTGCAGTAATCCTGCCCCGCCCCCTGCCACGGGCACCAGGCACAGCTCCCCTGCCTTGGATCACCCCTTTCAATCAACCTTTCCAGACCCGAAGTCATGACTCCTGAGAACAGCTGCAAGCGGGCTGAGGACCCTTCTGCCAACCCCTCCAAGAGAAACACAACAGATGGGCAAAATGGGGGAAGTCACAGTCAAGGGTTAGCAATACTGAGGGCAGGGTGGGCTCTGCCTCCCCAGTGCAAGTCACTTGAGGTCTAGAGCTGGTAAAATAGAGATCATTCTAATTTTTATGGCTCATGGGTTTATTCCAAGGCAGGAAATCACTTTGTATCTTTATAAATGAAAAGATAACTTCTGGGTGGGTTTTTCTTGGGCGGGGGGGAGGTGCAGTGATTCTCTGATGCCAAGATTTGGGTAGGGAGGATTCCAGAGGGGCATAAACACAGGCACACGTGCAAAAGGGTATGGGTGGGTCAGACCCATATGGGAGGGTCACACCCAGAGGTGTGCGAGGGGGCTGCTGGGGCCCGGGGCAGGGGTGTGGAAGTCGGAGGATTACCTGGGGGCACCATCCAGGTAGCTGAAGTGAAGGGGCCGTGGGAGGGGCACAGTCCTGGAGGTGAGCAAATGGCGAGGGGCCAGGAGCGGGAGCAGGTGTGCGCGGGCGCGCGGTCAGGGTCGCAGGCGGAGGTGTGCCTGCGCGGGAGGGTCGCCCCCTGGGCGTGGTCCGGGGTCAGGGTCTCGGGTGATTTGGGGGCGCCCCTGCGGGCGACGCGGTGTCGGGTGTGGGGAGGTCTCGGGGGCCGCGGGCGCGGGGCCCGCAGGGGTGCAGCGCGGGCGCCGGGGGCGCAGCCGGGGGCGGGCGCCGCCCGCGCGGGGGACGCGCTCAGGTGCGCGGGCTGCTCGGCGCGGGGCTCGGGTTCGACGCGTGGGGAAGGGGTCGGGGATTTCAACCTCTCCCCGCCCTCGCGACGCCGCTGTCACTCGCGGCCCCGCCCGCCCTCGCGGCCCCCGCCAGGTCAGCGCCCTCGGGGCCCCGTGACTCACGGCCCCGAGACCCTCGCGCCCCTCACCGGCCGGGACGTGCTGTTGCCGCCGCCGCCGCCGCCGCCGCGCCGCCGCCGCCGCCGCCGCGCCCCGCCTCGAGCATGGCCCCTCCCGGCGCGCGCCGGGGGCGGGGCCAGGAGGGGCTCCGATTCGCTGTGCGGCGGCCAATCATCCTGGGGGGCAGGAAGGATTCGCGGGCTCTGCGCGGACAGGCAGCCCTGAAGCCAATCGTTGAGGGTGGGAGGCGGGGCTGCAGGAGGCCCCGGGTGAGAGGCGCTGAGAGGTGAGGGCCCGAGGCGGGTGAAGATTGGCGCCCTGGGGAAAGACTGGCAGCCCGGACTATCAATCTCTAGGGAGCAGGGGCGGGGCTCCGAGGAAGTTGGCGCGACTGGAGCGGTAGGAACGGAGGGCGTAGCCCGGAGGGCGCTGGAGATTGGCTTCGAGGCTAAAGATAGGCAGGTGCAACGGCCAATCGCAGGCACCATGGGCGGGTGGAGGGGGGCGTGCAAGGTGCAGAGTTTGGGCCGGAGCGCGGGGGCCGAAATGGCCTCGGATGCCCTGCGCGGGGTCCCCTGAGGCTGTGGCCAATAGTCCAGCGCTCCGGCCTCCCAGCTCGGGACCACGCCATTCCCTCATTCCCACTGTTTCCGGACAGACGGCGCGGGGAGGCAGAGGCTCACTGGAGGGCAGCTCCTGGCCCCCTGCGGCTTGGTGTGGAGGCCTGCAAATAGGTGGAACCTGCTGGTTCTGGACCCGTTTGCCCTCTCTGAGTGCAGACTCAGTGCTAACGCCCTCCTCCACTGGATCCAGTAACGTCCCTGTCGAGCCTCTTCCGGCTAAGCCTTTTGTAAATTTTTTTTTTTTTTTTAGTCTTTTGTAAAATAATCACAATACCATGAGGTAAAAAAGACCCTGGCCCCGTTTTACAGAAACCATAATCCATAGAGGTCAGACTCCCAAAGTCACACAGCATTTCAGCGGCCAAATTGGGTGTGAATTTAGGCAGCCTGCTTTCAGGAAGGGCAGTCAGTCAGTGTCAGAGAACAGCTGTGGGGACCCAAGAAACCTGGGTTAGCTTCTCTTTCCGGCATTGGCCCACCTATGTCCCCGGCCTGTTTCTCCTAGGATAAAGGGTCCTACACCTTGATTTTTCCTCTAGAGCTCCCCTGAGAGAATGTATATACCTGTTTCGACTTTCTTGTGAAAACATTTAACCCTCAGCCATTACCTCTGGCCTGTAAATCTCAGTTTCTCTGAGGTGTGCTTCTGGGACTCTGCAGACAGTTCAGGAGGACACCTGCAGTATGTACTTGTCTTCCCTCAGCCCAACCCATTCTGACTCACCAGCTGCATCCAGGGCAGATAGGGTTACAAATGCTCCCAGAGACTGGCTCTCATTTCCTCAGTGCAGGCGGGGTTGGTTGAGTCAAGTTCAGAACTAGGCAATTCTGGTGGGGAGCAAAACTGAGCTGTGTCTTAACAAGGGTTCACATTTCAGGCCTGTGGCACTCCCCACACCCTGGAAGTCACTAGCTGAGGACATCCTCTGACTCAACTTCTGATAGTTCCACGATGTTCCTGCCTGGGCCCAAACCTCCCATCTGCAGTTTGTATCCCTGCAATTTCCAGGCCTGGGTCTCTCCACCAGAGAGACTGGCAGGGCCAGGAGCTTCGTAAACATAATCTCATCCAGATGGGGGTGACAGCGCTGCTTTACAGGTGAGAAAACCGAGCCTCACAGACAAGTGTTCCTTGCTGGAAGGGCCCAGGGTTAGATTTGATCCCTATTCATTTTTACATGCCAGACACAGGACCTTCAGTCCTGCCTTTGTCTTGTTTCTCCAACTACCTCCCGGGGCCACTGGGAGCATAAACAAAACAAATGGAAGTAAAACACTCACAACCACGTTGGTCCACAGTGAGCGCTGGCTGTGCGGTGATGGAGACCTGTTTCCCTCTCTGTAAACTGCGCTTCATGGAATGTGGACATAGACCAACTGTGGGTGTGGCTCCTAACTAAGAGGGAGATATTTATATTGGAGGAGTCTCCACCCACAAGCCCCTACCTGCCAGGCCCTGGGAGGAGACTGCATGATTCTGAAAGGTCCCCCAGTACTCTCAGGGCACTGCCAACTGAGACAAGGGTCAGGCAGCAGCCCAGCACTGGGCAGCCTCTCTGGATGGTGCCAGAGATACTGGCAAGGCTCTGATTTCTATTTGCCTCTCAGCAGGCTGGCGCCAGCAGACCTCCCTACAGCCTTCCAACAATGGCAGGCAGTGCCCCTTGGCTTTAGCCATTGACACCCCACCACAGGAACCTGGGTGCAATTGGCCTGAGTGCCTGGGATCCCAGCTCTTACTTGTTGGCCTGGCTGGTCCTGGCAAGATACTGCCCTCTTTGCTCCCGTTTCCTCAATCAACCCATTGGGGATTCCAGGTATCATCTGACAGGATGGCCATGAGCCAGACCCAGGCCCAGTGACAGGGCTCAAGCAACTGAGACCACAGAACCATTTACCCACGGTCAGGTTAGCAATGCTGGCAATAGATGAAGGGGTGAAGACAGGATGAGTTGGGTTCTTGTTCTGCTCCAACCCCTCAAATGTCAGTGAGTCCATCTCATCTGAAATGGGACTTACAGGGCATGCCACTCAGAGAGATGTTTGCAGCCCATTAACTCTGGGCCCTTCCCTGGCAGGAGGACACATCCTGAGCACTTAGTGATGACAGCCAAGGACAGTCTTAAGGTGGGCTCACTCTGCCTCCAAAAGGCTCAGAGAGGTCAGAACACTGTTCCAGAGCACTCAGCATCAGAGGCACCTCCCACATTCCCAGGTCACCAACAAGTGATCAGTAGAGGCACTGTGAGCTGGGCACCCCTAAGCTGAGCCTTGTGCAGCAATATAGTTAGCCCCTTTCAGGTGAGGAAGCTCAGGCTCACCTGTAGGGGCAGAACAGGAACAGAAACCCAGGCACAGCAACCACTGGGAAGTAGGGGAGGTCTTCAGCTGCACTGGCCCCCCTCCCTCACCCAGTCTGGGCCCCACCCACTGAACAGACAGACTTCCTCAGGCTAAGGTGGGAGGGATAGATAAGACCAAAGCCACCCTTTCTCCCCCTCTCCCCAGCCTGCATCTGTAGGAAGGTTGGCTGGGAGCCCAGGGGAGGCCCTGGGGCTTGGGGGAACTGGCCTTCCCTCCAACCACCTAGTGTGCTGCTTAATTTATTCAAGTGTGCATTCCAAAACATTTAGGGGAAGCTAGAGCTGAGCTGGGAGACAGGGCTCAGGGGTGATGGGAGACAAACAGGGACACACACAAATAAGGCAAACTTCAGAGTGCAGAGGTCAAAGACACAGCACAACGGTGATGGGATAGGGTGTGGGATGGTCTTCGGAGAGAGGTGATACTGTGAACTGAAACCTAGAGCCAGCTCAAGGGGGCGCCCAAGTGGGTAGGGTTAGTGAGGCTGCTGCTCCAGGCTGAAAGTGTTATGTGTACAAAGGCCTTAAGGTGGGGAGGTTGGTGAGCCTGGAACAGTGAATAAGGAAGAGAGAGTAGGGCTGATGAAGGTGGGAGGTTTTATGGGGAGGGCAGTGGGGAGCCATAGGCAGATTGAAAGCAAAGTAGAGCACAGCAGGAATAGGGCAACACTTGAGGCTTCCACAGAAATGCACATCCATTTCTGGGTGATGGATGAAGCAAGACTCACAGGATCTGGGGATTGCCCCAAGATCACAGCACTGCCCAAGGTCACATGCAAGGCTGACCCAGAAGTCAAACCAGGACAGCCTCGGGAAGGTACAGGGTCCTTCTGTACCCTGGTGAAGAGAATGAGGGCTGGGTAACCAGGTCAGAGGTTCAGGGCAGGGCCTTCCCAGTTGGAAGCCGGGGAGATTTGGACACCACAGGAAGGTAGGACAAGGGTGAAGCCCCATAACTATTTGCATCAGCCAGTTTCCATGGAAACCAGAAACCTTCTGGGAAAGAGTAGGAGCTGACCTCATGGACTGAGTTTAGGCCTAGGGGAAGGAGGGACAAGCAGGAGACGGAACTCCCAGAGAGGGACCTGGTGCCTGGAGCCAGTAAGAGTCAAGTCATGACCTTACCCTGGGCCACACTAGAGACATAAGCTATCAGGTAGCCACATGACCCCCTAGTGTGACTGCAGAGATGTGGGGTCTGCCCTGGCACAGCCACTTGGGACCCCACAACACTAGGAGGGTGGGGTGGGTACTGGGTCAGTAACGATGAAATCTAGCTACAGATGGAAAAGCAAGGCTCAGAGAGGGAAGACAGGCAGCCCAAGCCACAAGCAAGCACGTGTTATAGGGCAGGAGTCCTGCAGAACTAGTGCGCTTATGGTGACCAACGCAAGGAATTTTACTTTGGGCTGGTCAACCGCGGGTGTAACTTGGAAACCACGCTGGGCGCCAAGCTGTTATAGGGCAGCCCCTATACAAAATGGGGTGCCTGACTGTGGGTCCTCACCTGCGCGCTTAAAAGGACTTATCAATACTCTACTGCAGGCACACGCGAAAGGTTAATAAAAGGTATATTTACAAGGGAAGGGGAAATGAGGAAATGTATACAAAGTTTTAAATGCGTCCTACCCGATCCGTAGATCAGGAATCCCAAATGGCACTCTGAGAGCTGGCCGCGAGCCAGGAGCTGTGAACCCAGGAGGCGAGCAACAGAGCGAGAGACCCCAAGTCCCACGTGTTTGGTTTTTTATACCCAACCTGGCTGCTTAACTCCACCCTCAGGTCCCAGCCACCTTCCCTTTGGTGGTGACGGGATTTGTCTTTCCCAATGTCTTGATGACTTTGGCCTGGGGTGGGGGTGGGGTCCACAAAGCCTGTATGGGATTAACTCAGAACATCCTTTCCCCCTAACACAAGGACCACAGAGGGGCCAAGTTGGGGGTACAGGATAGTCCTCCTAGGGTAACTGAGGTGGTAAAGCTGAGACACTGCTGCCTCCTACATGCCTAGCTATTCCCCTCAACTGCAGTTTTATGGAGGATCAAATTGAGGCTGAGAGAGGTGATATTACTTGTTCAAGGCCAAAGGGCTGGGTGGGGGCTGGACTCTGAGCTTTCGGTCCCCCAGGGTGACACATGCTCAGAAAGCAGACTATGGCTCCCACAGACCCCAGGTTCATGACAGCTGTGGCCAGCAACCTGCCCATCAGAGGACAACAGTGGATCACAAGTCTTAGGCTGCTCTCAAGCCCTTCACTCTCCTCAGCAACCCCCTCAGCCTCTCCAAAGTCTGCCCTCCCTGGGGAGTCCACTGGCTGCAGCTCCTACACCCAACTAAACCACAAAAGAGACAATACTGCTCCAATATTCATCCAATGTCCTTTATTACTAGTACCAGTGGCTGGCCTGGGTCCCTGAGGTGCACGAGCCTCAGTCCCTACCCCTTGGCCAGCAGAACAAGATATCTGGGACCCATTTACAGTGAGGAAAACAAGCAGGACAAGGGAAAACACGTAGGAGCGGCTCCCTGGCCTTCTCTGAGACTGGCTAGTATGACTGCAAATCCCAGACCACCTTTGGCGCCCAAACAGCAGACTGGCGAACAAACGCTTCTGGTTGGAAAGAGCGTGGGGGCAAGGGGTATAGGATGGATGATGCCAATGTCTTTGGCTGGAGAGGAGAGGCTGGGACCCAGGGGTTGATTTCTGCAGTGTAGACACCTCATCAATGCCCCCTCCCACCCCCAGCCTATCCCTAGCGCTGAAGGGCCAGGGCTGGGGGCAGCACAGCAAGATATAGACTTCCCCCTGCCCTGTTCCTGAGTCATACAACTCAGCCGGGTCACACCCAGGCCAAGCCTGAGGTCACTGTGCCAGGTCACCCTTCTGGCCAGTCCATAGCTCTCGGAGTTCGACATGGCACCCTAGGTCCCGCAGGGCAGCCTTGGCCACATCCTCACAGTCTCGGTGGGTGGCACGGGCCTGAGAGATGAGCGCCTCGGCCCCCAGGTCAAGGATGGGCTGTGAGAAGGCCTGGCTGCGGGCCACCAGGTTACGGATCAGCATGCAGGCCTGTTTCTGGAAGGGAGAGGTGAGCAGTTATGAGCTGGTGGGTGGGGCATTGGGGTGGGGCCCACTCTAACTTAAGATACCTCCCCATGACAATGGGGTAATGATGACCACCGCCCATATTCAGTGGGTGCCAATGCTGTGAGTCATTAGACTAGTCTCCTCTCTCCTCCTCACCTGCCTCAGGGAGCTGGGGTCAGTCCCCCACCTCCTGAGGTGACTGAAGCTCAGGTGCATAGCAGCTGACACAGCTCTGCTCACACACCTGAGAGGGGGCCAAGGGGATGGCTAAGGTGCGAAACACCTCTACCATCCCCACAGACCTCACCTGGACCAGACTATGTGTACTGGTAATGTTAGGAAGGAAAATACTGATCACAGATGTGGGATCTGAATCTCAGTCTCAGCGGTTCCCTGAAACTGGTAGGAGCCTGGGTAGAGCCCAGGGCACACAGGGTCCATTTGCCCATTATATCAATACATCACTCATTCAGTCATCATTTGTGTCCTACATATCTACTTTGTATAGGACCTCAAAGCATCCCAGGATGGCGTCTAATACTAGTGGAAAACAGATGAGAAGCAGGTAAGGTGTGAAAACCATCTGGCCAGGGTGATCAGGAGTGGAGAAGGTGAGTCAAGGGCATGATGTGCTGAGGGAGGGAGGGAACAGCTAAAGCGAAGACACCCTCGACCCCCGCCCCCCAGACTGGTGTGTCTAAGGATCACTGGGAGGCACTGTGCTGGGAGGGTGGGTGGGGAGGAGGGGAGGTAAAGAGAGCCTGGGGGCTGGAATGGAGTGTGGGTTTCAGGCTGGGTGCATACGGTCCATTTATGGTTCAGCTCCAGCTCTGTCAGCACCCCAACAAGGCAAGGACAGCAGGCCCGCCTTCCCCACACCAAGGAGCAGATCAGGTGGGGCAAGGAACTTTACCAAACTCCAGCTGATCCCCACTAGCTGCGCCTCCAGATTCCTTGAAAGGGGATTGATAAAAGGCTCAAATGCAGAAAGAGTAAAGGGCAGGAAATGAGACAGCTGCTGGCAGGATTTGGAGAATGGACAGTAGATGCAGAACTCAGGGCCTGGGAAGCAAGGAGACCTTAGTTGGCCCCTGGTGGGGACTGGACAGGGATGGGGAGACCTGTGCCCTGCCCCTCCCCCACTGCCTGCACACCAGTCTCCTGCCCCTCCTCCTGTCCCCATACCCACCTGCACGCCAGCCTCCTGTGGGTGTGCCTTCATGGCTTGCAGAGCAGCCAGCGCCCCACCACATTCCACAATGACACGGCTATTCTCTGGTTTGCGCAGGGCCAGCACACAGAGGGCTGCGCAGCTCTGCTCACACACCTGAGGGGGATCAAGGGGATGGCTGAAGTGGGCAAACACCCCTACCATCCTGACAGACCTCACCTGGACCAGACTATGTGTGCTGGTAATGTTAGGAAGGAAAACCATGGATCAAGCTCTTATGGAGGTCAGCTTAGGCCTGGTCCCTTGGTACCTCGAATACCCTCACCCTCAGCTAGTCACCCCCACACTCAGCTAGTCAGCCAGACCCAAAGTCCAGCTCCCAGGCCCTCCCTCATACAGCTCCTAGCACCCAGTTCTCTCTCAGCCCTGCCTAGCCCACCCTGTCTTGCTCAAAGTCCTTTCCCAGAGCCGCCTCACCCTCCCCAAGTCCTGAACTCTGGAAGAAACCAGAGAGAGCAATGCTCAGATAGAAACCACATGTGTTCCTGGGGGTACCTGTGGGCTGGTCAGGTGCCGGGTCATGGCCGCCACGATGGGCTCTGTCCCACCAGCACGCACGATGGCATCCTTCACATCATCGTTGCCTGCAATGGCCCGCAATGCGCTTAGCACCTGCTTCACCAGATCCTAGGTGGAGGGCAGAGGGTGAGGGTGGGGTGTCACTGGTCATCCCCTCTCCCATTGGTACCAGCTACCTGCTCAATGCTGAAAGAGAGGGGCCTACGTGTGCATCAGGGATGCTCTGACAGCTGTGGCCATCCTAGGCGTGCAGGCAGCACTCACACCACGGTTACTACCAGCTGGATAGATTAGGTAGAGAGGCTCATGAGGTGGTTGATGCTACCCAACTGCATACAGGCCTAGGATTTGGGGCAAAGTGGACACCTGCACACACAGGAGAGGCAGTGGTTTGAGCCAGCAATCAGAGACTGGGTCCCCTGGCCACAGCCCAGTTCCTGATGAGACTGATCATCACCCCAGCGAGTTCAGAGCCCAAGAAGGAATACCAAGTCCCTGCCCTTGACTACCCAGCAGTGGAAGCAAATTAGGTTTCTGTATAGAAGGAGCCTGGCTGACCTCATCATCCAGGGTTGGGGAGCACAGGGTCATTGCTGCCATTGGGTGCAGAGCACACAATCAGGCAGTTGATAAGTGGCCGCTAAATGAAGGAATGATGGGCAAGGGTCTCTGTCCATTTCACACACAGACAAGCCCAGACAGAGAGGGGTAAGCCTCACTCACCTGAGCTGGGGTCTGCACCAGTCACATGGACACCCACTTCCACCCCCTGACTCCTGATGAGAATACAAAGGTGCTAAAGTACAGTAAGAGAAAGTGGATGGATCTATTTTTCCCTCTAAACTTCAGTTCCAGGTCACCTTTGGTTCCAGAGTCAGCAGACAGACCCTGGTATTGACTTAAGCTGTCTGGCTACTCAGGGCCCAAAGGGGCAGAGTTCACTAGGAGGTCAGAGCCCTCCTGGGAGTCCAGAGAAAGAACAGATGGAAAAATGGTGCAGGGGCTTTTGCACTCTGGATGCCCACCTGGTGGTCGCTGCAGTTGGCCAACAGGGCCACCAGGACGCTGAGGCCCCCGAGGTCCACCACCTCCTGGCAGAACTCATTGCGGACTGCCAGGCGGGACAGGGTGCTGCAGAGCTCACTCAGGACGCTGGGGTTGTCGGGGAAAGCTGCAGAGAGGGAGGAGAGCAACCGTAGAGGAGGGGAGCTGAGCCAGGGGTCCTGAAGCCAATTCTGCACCATCAGGGAAGTCCTTGTGCCTCACAGAGGTGGCCTCCTGTACCAGCAGGACCCCAGTGAATACCAGGGCCTGCCTCAGGCCTCCTGGACCTGCAGCGCCCCCTGCTGGTTGCTGGGGAAGACCTGGAATGGAGCCTCCCTCAACATGCCCCAGATAAATTCCAGACCAACTGATGATCTCACCTAAAAAAAGAAAACCATAATAGTGCTATAATAAAACATCCGAGACTATTTTTATAATCTTGGGGTGGGAATGACCTTTCTAGGTGCAATCAGAAACCCAGAAACCATAAAGGGACATATGGATAGAGTTGATCTGGGCAAAATTGAGCATAGACATCAAATATGAGACACAGAGGCACCTGGGAGGAGAGGCTGGTGCTGAGGCCAACAGTAGGAGTGGATAGATATTCTATATAGAGTTCTGATGGTCAGTTCATAGTCCTCTGGTTAGGCCACAGACCCCTGAGATACCCTGAGCAGTAATCTGGGGGTGCCATGGAGGTGTTTTGTAAGTGCAGTATGTTACTCACAACCAGCTGACTTTAAGGAGACGACCCTTGATAGGCTGGGTAGGCCTCAGCCAATCAGATAAAGCCTTAAAAGAGAGGGCTTGGGCCTCCCTGGTGATTAAGTCTCAGCACTGTGAAGCTATCAGCAGTCACTGCAGCCAGAGTTTGATCCCCCACCAGGGAACTACCCACATGGCGCAGCAGACCTCTACTGTCTTGCCCACTGTGCCCCTCAGCAGTGTATTTCAGTCAATCTGCCCCACTCTGTCTCTGGTGAATCTTCTCACTGCCTTGTACCTCTGGCCTATACCCCAGTTCGTGTATGTATAAATAAATAAAAAATAAATCTAAAAAAAAAAGAGAATCTGTACCCCCATCATCATTGCAGCATTATTCATGATAGCCACGAGCAGGAAACAACCTAAGTGTCCATCTATGAATTAATGGATAAAGATAAAGCAGATGTGACCTTCTACTCAGCAGTGACCTTCTACTCAGCTATAAAGAAGATGAAATCCTGCCCTTTGCAATGTGAGTGGACCTAGAGGGGATTATGCTACATGAAATAAGTTCATCAAATACCTTATGATTTCACTCATGTGGAATGTAAAGAAATAAAGTGAATGGATGAACTAAATCAAACAAACAAAGAAAAAAAACCTTTTACAATGTGAAACCAGAATAGCAGTTGCCAAAGGCGAAGGAGGAAGGAAGCAGAGGGACAGATTAGCCAGGTAACAGGGGCGCTGTATGGTGGTGAATGGAAACGAGACTTTTGGTGGCAAACATAATATACAAGTGTTGATTTATAAGATTTTACACCCAAAATCTACATGTTATAAGCCAATTAAAAGAAAAGAAGGAAACCAAGGCCTCTCTGATGAGGAAGCATGCCTGCAGAAAGTATTGTCCAATCTGGCCTGTCCTGCAGATTTCAAACTTGCTAGTCCCATAACCATGCAAGTCAATTCCTTGTGATAAGTGTCTCTCTCTGTATAGCCTATTGGGAATGTGTCTCTGGTATTACCCTGACTAATATGCCCTCCTGTAAATAAACAAGGAAGATGCAAACTACTACTCAGAAGGGTAGACCATCAAGACCTGTGTTCACATTCTCTGGAGGCATGGAAGGGAGACTACAGCAGACAGGACTGGAGTCATGGGGCACATAAGCCAGGCCATGGAGCCAGAGCTACAGGACAGGTAGAAAGGGGAATTCATTCTAGTTCTGTCTGTGCTCTAGACTCTTTTTCTAGTAGGTGAAGCAGACAAGGGGGCACTGGAGGTCAATGCTGTGACCTCCATGGACAGTGTGGTCACCCCAGTTTAGACACATGCATGTGCACAAGAATAAATGGCCAAACATGAACCAGAATGTAAACCACTGGAGATTGGTCATGGTGAATGGCAGCAATAATCTTCATCTATTAAAAACAGTCCCCTTATTTTCAACTTGGGGTTTTTCCCCTTCCCTACTCTCTGCCTGTGTGGTTGGAGAGAACTGAGCTCCCTCCCCCAAATAGCTCCAGAGGTGAGTATAGGACCTGGTCTTGGCCTGGAACTCTCTGGTAGTGACCAGGAGTAAGGATCCTGTTCCACTAGGGCTGCTGTGCACTGGGACTAGACAGAGAGGTAAGTGGAGCCCGGAGCCAGCCACGACTGAAGCAGTCTTTGCCTTTCTCACTCTTGCCCTGTTCCCACACCTTGCTAGGCTTGCCTCGTCAGAGAAAGCCCCACTGCTCCTACCTTTAGCAGCTTGGATGAGCACTTTCAAGCCTCCATTCTCCTGCACGATCATCTTAGCATGGTCATGGGCGTGGCCAAAGGGCACACGGATGTCATCATCAAAGGTCATGACACGCAGTGCCCAGCAGGCCTCCCTGACTACTTCAGCGCAGCAGCTGTGCCGGACAATGGCGCCAGTTAGAAGGGGCAGTACACCAGCCTTCACCAGGCTCTGTCGATTGTGCTCATGCTTCAGGCAGGCATGGCGTACACAGCGGATCCCGGAGCAGGTCAGCTCTGCAGCATTGGTGTTACGGGCCAGCGTGGTCACCAGCAGCTGCAGGCCCTGGGTGTCCAGAAGATCAGGCTGACCGTCAGTCAGAGCTGAAAGGGCATTGAGGGACTGAAGCAGGAGGTCCTGGTCACCCGCTGAAGCCAGCTGCCAGGTAGCAAGCAGGACAGGGTAAGCCCCCTTCTGTGCTGCCAGGAAGCGGTAAGCTTTGTGCAGCTTGCACTGCTCCAGAAAGCGGGCAAGATGTGCTGATACCTCCTGGGGACGAGAGTGAGTCACAGACTTCTGCAGGTCATCTAGGGCCTAGAGGACACAAGAGAGACCTCAGTCAGTGTAGCCCAAAAGGAGCCATGGTGACAGGGAGCCTGCTCCTAGGAGAGTTCCTGCCCTGGGATCTGGGCCTGCAGTGGAAGTTCTGTGGGGCCTGTTCTTACTGTGGCAGCTGCCATGTCTATGCTTTTAGTAGCCTTGAGCTTCAGGGGGCACATAGAGGAGATGTCCAGTCATCTCTGTGTCCCTGCCAGAAGCCACACACAAGAGTGTACACACCTCAAAATCCCACACAATAATGACCGCATAAGGCTCTGTGTGGAAGAACAGAACCAACACGCTAAGCCCAGTCAACCCAGCAAATCATAAGAAATAATACAATACAGTGGCTGTCCTTTAGGCTGGCTGTCACACAGCCATAACTAATCCACATGCTAGGCAAAAACCACCTTCCCTAAACCTGCCCAGAGCAATGTCTCAGCTTATCTCTCTTGTTCATTCCACAAATATTTACTGAGCCTCTGCCAAAGGAAACCACACTGCACACACAGTTGACTTATCCAAATTCAACTCTAAGCCTTTGGGGAGAAAATAATCTGAACAGGACAGACAAGCCTAATTTTTAGTCACATCTGTTATATAAGGCTCTACCTCAGCATGAGCCCAGGGAGAACCTGTCCCAGGAACTCGTGAATCATTTTGCATCAACCCCATGAGGACAGGTCTACATGTCTATAAATGGCTTTGATTTGACCTGATGGGCCACAAAAGGTAACCATATCTGAGCTCACATTTGTACACTTAACTGAGCATAAGTTATAATTTAACAGACTAATAAGGGAAAAGGTCAAAATCAGAGGGTGTGACCTGAATGACCATTTCTCCAAAGAAGGCCTAAGCACAAGATGCTCAACATCACTAGACATTGGGGAAATGCAAATCAAAACCACAATGAAAGACCACCTTACACCCATTATGATGGTTCCTATTAAAAAATCAGAAAATAGTGCTGGTGAGGCCACGGAGAAATTGGAACCCTGTGTATGCCAGGTGGGAACATAAAATGGTATTGCTGCTGTGGAAAACAAGTGTGGAGGTTCCTCACACTGTATAGAGTTACCATATGACCCACTTCTGGGGATATAGCCAAAGGAGCTGAAAGCAGAGTTTCAAAGATATATTTGTATAACCATGATCATAGCGCATTCTACACATTCGCCAAAAGGTGGAAGCAGCCCAAGTGTCCATTGATGGATAAGTGGACAAATACAACGTGGTCCCTCCTGGACCATACTGGAACACTATTCAGTCTTTTTTTTTTTTTAAAGATTTATTTTATACAAGAACTGGGGTACAGGTCAGAAGCAAGGGAGGGTGAGAGAATTCACCAGAGCCAGAGCAGGGAGCAGAACAGGCAGATGGACCAAAGACACTGCTGAGGGGAGCAGGGAGCGAGGCAGGAGAGATCTGCTGCGCCATGTGGGGTTCTCCCTGGCCAGCGGGGAATCGAGCCGGCGCTGCAGAGGCTGTGGACAGCTTCGCAGGGCGGCACCCAACTGCTGCGCCACTGGGGAGGCCCCCACTATTCAGTCTTAAAAAGGATGGAAATCCTGACACATGCTATGACATGAATGAACCTTGAGGTATGTTCAGTATGCTCAGGAAATAAGTCAGACAGAGAAGGACAAATACTGTGAAATCCCACTCATGTGAGGTCCCCAGAGGAGTCAGATTCAGAGACAGAAAAGTGTGATGGTGGGAGCCAGGGGTGGGGAAATGTTTCATGGGAAGAGTTTCATTTTGTAAAGATGAGAAAATTCTAGAGATGGATGGTGATCAGGGGTTGCAGAGCATTGCAAATATACTCAATGCCACAGAACTATGCACCTAAAAATGATAAGATGGTAAATTTTTTATTATGTATATTTTGCCATACTCCTACATAAAAACCCAAAACAAACAATGGGATCTTACAAGAAATGGGAAAAACCTGTTGTTGGGAACATACAGTACCAGAGTTACAATTACCCTGTTTAATAGGTCAGATAAGAGAGAAAAACAAATGACAAATATTTGCACATGGCATCCAAGTCTAAGAGAAATCTCTCTTGTCCTGAAGCTCATTAGAAAGTCCACAGTGCGAGTAGGCTGGCAAAGGGGTTCCTCATAGTCTTGAGGTGCTGCGTGTGAGCCCAAAGCCCCACTGCTGGCTGAAGGGATGACAGCTGCAACAACCTGTGACAACTCAGCATGGTGACAGGGCTTGGCCCACCCATCTATCTCTATGCTGACAGCTGTCATCCTACAACCCCACCATGAAAGCAGCCAGGTTCATGTTCTACTAGTTCTAAGACTTCATTTTCATTTGATTGTTAAGTCTGTCTGCAACAAATGTTATGATTCTTCATTTCAAAAGGTTATGACAAAGTTGAATTTTTCTCCCTCTACAGATGAGCATTTTCTCCTTCTACAAATAAGCAAAGTTGAGACATACAAGCACCAAGTCAAGGGTGCTGTGGACGCCATTGTGAGAAGAGGTCGCTCAGTGTGAGGGGAGAAGGGTCATTGTGAACCCTAATGTGAACCACAGGGAAGTGCAAACACAGGGTTGAGCAGAGACTTTCAGATTTTACTATAAATGCTTGAGTATTATTTATGCCAAGGACATGTCCTATGTTCTTTTTCTATAAATAAAATGTACTGAGGGCCTCCCCGGTGGCGCAGCGGTTGAGCGCTGGGTTGCGAAGCTGCCCGCAGCCTCTGCAGCGCTGGTTCGATCCCAGGTTGCTCCCCGGCCGCTGGAGGAGGGTCCCACATGGCGCGCAGACCTCTCCTGCCACCCGCTGCTCCCCTCAGCAGTGTACTTCGGTCCTTCTGCCTGCTCTGCTCCCCGCTCTGGCTCTGGTGAATTCTCTCACCCTCCCGTGCTTCTGACTGTACCCAGTGCTTGTATAAATAAAAATAAATAAATCTTAAAAAAAAGAAAAACTCTTTATTAAAAAAAAAAAAGAAAATATACTGATAGTAGAAGACAGTAGAGTTGTTCCAAGCTTGACTTCTCTGGGAGGGAGATCTGGGCCTGGGTCCCAACTCTACACCTGGTGATTTATCCTTGGGAAGCCCCAGATTCCTGGTCAGAAAAATGGGCTAATCTCAGATTGAGAGAGGAATTTAACTCAATATAAAGTGCTCAAATACTCAGAGACTGCGTGAGACTTTCCTTAATGAGATCCTTCATTCGTAAAAGTCATCTGTAAATCAGTAAGAAAAAGATAAAAAAGAATCCAATAGAAAAATTGCCAGAAGACAAGCTCATATTAAAATATGAACATCTTTACTAACATCTGGGAGAATAACTGCCTGGCACAGAATAATCGCCTGGCACAGACCATGCTACAGGACTCCTTGGACCTAGACCTCGCTTGTCTAACATTCCTGTTGTTGAACTGCCAGGCTGGCTGATAGGCCAGGCCAGCCAATCACCAGCGAGAAATATACCCTCCACCCTGCAGAAGCTTTCGGTCTTCATCCAAAGGCTCTAGAACCAGCTGAAACCTGATGGCAGACTCAGATGGCAGAAGTCTGACCTAAAAGTGATCTAGGTCTCAGCCTGCTAAAACGTATACCTCTGGGTGGAGACTGCCTGCCATCCCACCCTGATAATCAGCCTCATAAAACCAGGACACCCCCCTCAGGTGAAAGCATGGCTCAGAATATTTCCCTACCCTTCTCCTACTGTGTGATCCAAAATAAACCTTCCTTACGTGAAACCTCCAAATTTGTGGGGGATAAATTGGTGAAAGCCAGACAAAGACCCTTCAGGATCTGTAACAAACTGAGTGGGTTCTCTGTAGACACTAGAACATTCTGCTGTCTGACTAATACCTTACTGCTTTTTAATGGATGACCTTGAGGGAAGCATTTAACTTCTATGAGCTTTACCTTTCTTATTTTGGTCCCTGGAGAATAAGGTCAGGCTCGAGGAGTCCACGTCTCCATCAGTAAGTCAGGGGTGATACCACCTACCCTATAAACCAGTTTAAGTGCTAAAGGGACTTGCTGTAATGAGCCAGTAAACAATTGGTGCTCAATAAATGTGAAAAGTTGACATCTGTGAAGTCATTTTTGAAATGGAGCCAGGGAGCCATCACAGAGAAATTTCATTACCCATCTCATTTAAACTGGGCCAAAAACAAAAACAATTCTTTAAGAAACATCAAACAAACAATTGTTTGAGATTATGGACTTTTAGCTGGAGGACAGAACCAGTCAGTTCCCTTTCTAGAGATTCAGTAACCAATTATGTCTAGCCAAGAATAGTTTAAGCCTGTTAACGGTGATCAACTCTTTAACAACTTACCTCTTTTCCCTCTTTAACACACATAAAATCTCCACTTTCTCTTTCCTGGGACAGGGTTTAGGTTTTTACCTCAGCTTGTATACCCCAAATTGCATTTCTCTGATCCCAAATAAACACTTTGTCTCTTGAATGTGTAGGTTGGCAAATGGCAGACAGCCATAATATTATCCCAATCTCTCTTCCTAGCTTCCTGCCCATTTCTCTCTGAGCAAACTTGATGGGGTAGTGGGAGAGGCCAGTGGGTCCTCTTCATGGTATCCTCTACCCTAAGGCTCCCTATGCTCAGGCAACCGTGAGCACTGCCTACCCCTTGGGCCTGTCTGCTCTGATGATCTTAGACTATGGCAGATGGGTAGAGCATGACACCCCTGAGAGGCCCTCAGAAGTAGACTCAGGGAGTGCTGGCTGCTAACTCAGGCTGGTCTGTGCCACTGGGTCACCCTAGAGCCTGAGCCTGCCTTCTGGTAGCAGGAAAAGGGTGCCCCAGTAAGATAGTGTTAAGGTGTTGTGGGATAGGCATGTGAGGTCAGCCCTGCCCACATGGGCCATGCCTCTTACCTGCAGGATGTCATGTGTGGCCTCCTGGGGTCCATCTGCAGAGACTTTGGGTGCCATCTTTACAATATTGCTCAGGTCAACCCCTGCAGAGGGAGCAGTGTCAGGAAACAAGCAACAGCCATTATCCCTGCAGACTAGCCAAGTCACCCTTCACGGCCCTTCTTCTGGGATCACCCCACTCTGGAGGCCTTTGGGGTCTGCCCAGTTCCCCACCCCACAACAATCCCCCCCTGCAGCCAGGCCCAGCAGCCACAACCACACAGGAATGTGGTGTGGGGAGATCTTTGCCCCTCAGCTGCCTCCAGTCAATGGGAAAGAGTAGTGGTGAGGCACTATTGCTGCAGCAAGAGGCACATTCTACCTGGCAGGATGAGAGGGAAGGGGGTCCTTCTTTTTTGGGGCTCCCATCATCCCTCACCCTGGCTACATCTCCACCCTCACCAGCACCCCTACAAGAAGCCCCTACTCTGGGGGGACTCCTAGGCACCCCTCCAGGTCCTGGTCAGTGTCTATATTCCACTCTACTCATGGGGTTGGTCTGACTTAAGGTTGGACTCCTGGCTTTCTTGGCCTCTTCCAACAGGGCTTGCCCACTGGGGAGCTGGAAGTGACTGGGGGTGGGGGGGTGCTGGGGGAAAGATGTTCATTCCCAGCTCCTGCCTCCCCTCCTAGGTGATCAGGTGACCTGTGCCCCCTGCAGTGGCTTGTCCTGGGGAAAGGGAAGTCCCTGCTGACAGGAACCCCTAACCCTGCCACATCAATGCAAAAGGTCTCTTGGGATCTCTCTCCTCTATAGCACCTATTTCCATAGGCTCATATGCCCCCATGAGTCCAAGTCAGGGTACAGGTGTGGTAGGAAGGGAGGAGTCTCCCGATCCGAGAAAGCCTCTTCAAGAAAGTGACAATTAAAATGAGACCCAGATGGAATGATCCTGTCCTGCAGCCATCTGGGGGAAGCCCAGGCAAACACACAGCAGAGGGTAGGTATGAGCAAGTTGAGTGAAGAGCACTGGGAGGGGACAGGGCTGTCATGTCAGTGGAGGGACCATGGCAAGACATCAGTATTGCAGGTTAAGAGCTATGGACAGGGTGACTATTCGGCAGACGCTAGCACAGGGACAGAGCTTCCAGCCCTACCTTGCGACTCAAACTGCTCCACAGCTTCCTTCACTGCCTCCTCCGGCCCCATGTCAAACTCCTGAATGTTCTCACGCACGGCAGCATCGAAGGTCTCCTGGGTGACACGCTTCGAGGCCATCTTCTTATCCTTCCAAGAAGGACAGATGAGAGGACAGCTTCTCTGGGCAGCTGCTGAGCCCAGCCTACCCAGGGAAAAGTTCACTAATGGGTCACAGGAAATGGCAACACACCGACACCAGCACTGCTTCTCAACATGCAAGAGAGGAGAGAGTTTACATTCTAAGAAAGGGGGGAATTTTAATATAATGTGTGTGTTTATAGTAAAAATAGCAATAAATAAAATAATATCTTATGTTACGTGATATGTTACATATTGTGATTATAGTATACAATATATTACGAAGTGTACAATACCGTTACAAAATTATATCATAACATTGTCATATGTCAACATTTCAGTCATTGCCAAACTGCATCCATAAAGAATACACACATTCTTGGTACATCCAAGTTGTACCATGGAGCCCACGTGTACCAACTAGGTTTGTGTAATTATGCTCTAAAGTGTTCACACAATGACGCATTTCACCTAATGACTCATTTCTCAGAATACGTCCCTGTTAAGTAACACATGATCCTATGTATGTATTATGCAATTCCTAAATTATAAAATATATAACTATATCTTATCAGTTATGAATTATGCATAGTTATATAACAACGGTAAGTATACTGTTACACTAAGAAAAATGTCAAAATAAAAATTAATAATAAATTATTAAAAGGCTAAATCAAAGACTAAAATAGTTATCTGTAAAGGGAGGTTGGGAAAATGGATTATTCTCACTGAATGAACCCTGTTTACAGGTTTGAGTTTGAAATATGCGAATATTTCAGGTGGCTAGGAAAATATACAAAATAAATCAAAATAAATTAAAAGCAGTCCTTAAAAATCAACAGCAAAAGCCTCCCTGGTGGCGCAATGGGTTGAGATGCAGCCTATGAGGCTGTCTGCAGCCACTGCAGCACAAGTTCCATCCCCAGCCGGGGAGCTACCCACATGGCGAAGCAGACCTCTCCTGATTCACCCGCTGCTCCCCTCAGCAGTGTGTTTCAGTCAGTCTGCCTGTTCTGCTCCCCACTCTGTCTCTGGTGAATCCTCTTACCCCCTGCACCTCCGGTCTGTATCCCAGCTCTTGTATACATAAATAAATCTTTTTTTTTTTTTAATAGAGGCATGTTTTATTTATTTATTTGTTTGTTTGTTTGTTTTGTTTATACATGCACTGGGTACAGTCAGAAGCGCGGGAGGGTGAAAGAATTCACCAGAGCCAGAGCAGGGAGCAGAGCAGGCAGAAGGACCGAAGTACACTGCTGAGGGGAGCAGCGGGCGGCAGGAGAGGTCTGCGTGCCTTGTGGGACCCTCCTCTGGTGGCCGGGGAGCAGCCGGGGATCGAACCGGCGCCGCAGAGGCCGCGGGCAGCTTTGCAACCCAGCGCTCAACCGCTGTGCCACCGGGGAGGCCCTGCATAAATAAATCTTTAAAAAAAAATCAAGAGCAATAGGCCTCCCCGGTGGCGCAGCGGTTGAGCGCTGGGTTGCGAAACTGCCCGCAGCCTCTGCAGCGCTGGTTCAATCCCCGGCCACCGGGCGAGGGTCCCACATGGCGCGCAGACCTCTCCTGCTGCCCGCTGCTCCCCTCAGCAGTGTACCTCGGGGTCCTTCTGCCTGCTCTGCTCCCCACTCTGGCTCTGGTGAATTCTCTCACCCCCCCACGTTTCTGACTGTACCCAGTGCTTGTATAAATAAAAATAAATAAATCTTTAAAAAAAATTATTCACTTTAGATGGAGAAATATTATAATGTACAAATTACAACTCAATTTTAAAATACCATTTTTAAAAACAAGGAAAAAAAAAAAAGAAACCCAGAATAGGTTGGCAGTGAGAGGACAAGACCAGCAGTTAGATAGATGACTCAACAAGGTCTCCAAGTTCAAGCGGTTTGTTAACACCTAATATTTGCCACCCTCTTTTTAACCAGGTCTCGTGTCCAGAGCCTAACAAAGGCTAATAATCTTTTTCATTTCATTTGTTTTACTATACCTTGTTTATTAAAATAACTAAACTTTCATTAATGGAATTATATCCAGTTGCCACTTAAAATACATCGCTTTTTAAATATACTTAAGCCTGAAAAAATGGTACAAGGAATACTATATACTCTTCTAACTTCAACAGTTAATATTTGCTACATTAACCTGAGCATATGTGCCCGTATTTGTGCATGTGCTGCACGGTTACACCACTTGAGACTACGGGATTCCTTCCCTCCTATGGAGGTCAGCATGAATCTCCCATGAAAAAGATACTTACACATTTGCAGTGCAGCTAAAATGTAATAACCATACAACACTATTTTCTAAGACACAGTCCATGATCAGTTTTCTCAATTGTCCTAATACCATCTTATTTTAAAATAGTTTTTCTCTTAAGGGACAGAGACATGGGGCATCAGGACAGTAGTAGCACAGGAAGTAAATATTCCATCTATGTTCCTGAGGATACTCCCGAGGGACAAGGATGGGCTTGGAGAGAGCCAATGGAACTCAAATCTCAAGCTCCACTTGTTTGTAAAACGTTCCTCACTGTTTACCAATGGCCTCATGTGTGACACAGGGGTAAACACAGGATATATCTCAACAGACTACAATGAAAATTCAACCAGTTAATTGCCACAAAGCATTCAGAATAGAATTTGGCAGAGCAAGACTGTACCTATCTGTTCCTTTTCTTTGTTGCTTAAGAGGTAATTCAGCCAATTCATTTGGGGAAGGGGATGTAAAGGCACCAAACACCCCACCTTGATCTCCTGCAAACTGGCCCTTCAGCCCCCTGGAAGAAAAGGGAACCTGTTTAGATAAGAGTTTCTCCGTGAGAAGCTCAGGCTGCTGGTGGTGGGGTTCCTAGCCAGCTCCAAAGGGCAGGAGCTTCCAGGATCAGTGCTGCTGGAAGGACTCTGCCACCAGAAGTCACTTCCAACAACCTGGTGTTTCAGATTGAGTGGGCCAACAGTGAGCAGTCACTCTGTTATAGAGACAGGGTCCTCCAGGAGAATGCTGTTATGGATTTATGGATGTTATGGATTTATGGATTATGGTTTATGGATGAGGAACCTGAAGCTCAGAGAGACAAAAACAAAAAACAACCAAAAACTGCCACAGGCCACATTGCAAGAAAGAGGCTTAGCCTCTTATCCCATATCACTAGCCTGCCTCATTAACACTCCACCTTGGTCCTGGTGGACTTTCTACCAACTCTACCAGGCCATCTCATCCTAGGAGCCTTCCTTGGCCACTGAGACAGAGCCAATACTCTCTGGTTTTGGTTGCTCCACCCCATGAACTTCCCTTCTGCCCAGCTCCGAGCTCCTTGTGTTGGGGAGGTCAGCATCTGACTCTAAAACCATTTGGAGGTGAGTCCTTCTGAGTCCCCTAGAGCTGGCACAGGGCTGGAGGTTGGGGGTCCGGGGCAGAGAAAATACAGATTTGGTGCCTGGGGGTCATCTTGTGAGGGTGAGCTGGTGAACACTAGGCCAGGAGAGGAAGGAAGCAGCATTAGCAGCCCCTATGATGGGTCCATGGGGTGCTAGAGCGCAGGAAGGAATTATTAATAGTAAAGCCCTCAAATGACAGCCAGTTTTTCCCCAAGCCTCATTCCTTCACACACCACACCCATCCTAGCTCAAGCACCGTTCTCCTCCCGGATGGCTGGCCCGCCCCACCTGCTGCCTCCCTGCCACACCCTGAAACTCTATTCTGCAAGCAGCGACTAAAAGACTTGAAAACACAAACAGAGCCTCACTCACCTGCTCAAGATCCTGCAGTGGCTTCCCAGCCGTCTCAGAACAAAACCCAGCCTCCTTACCAACACCTTCTCTGGCCCCTTTTTTACCTAGACCTTCTTAGTTGTGCTTCCCCGCCTCTTTCTCATCTTTCCCAGCTATCCAAGGGACATCCTAACCACTCTGGTTAAAGCAGCCGCGCTCTCCTAGCGCATCATTCTCCTTTATCATTTGCATTTTATGTCGGACCGGATCCGCTAAGCTTGTTTATTTGCTTATACTGTCTAGCCTCCGCCCCAATGAAATGTAATCCGCACGAGAGCTGGGGTCCTTGCGCACTTTGTTCACCACTTCGCCCCACGGCTGAGGACAGGATTCAGCTACAGGGGCGAAGGCAGAGGAATGAATGAAAAGAACCCGGAGGCCAGAGAGATGGGGGACTTTGTCCTCCGGAGGGTTCGGTAACAATTTTTCAATCCCCAAAACAACTCCCGAGGGCCACGCCCCGGCCACCAGCACCCCCCTCAAGGCCCCCCGCCCCGGCGTTCACTTCCCGCCCGGTGCACCAGGGGATAGCGCAGCGGCGGCTCTCACCCGGTAGTCGCCGCCACGTGGGGGAGAGGGTGGGGCTCCCGCTGTCACCGCGACGCGCACTGGGCCTAGCCGGGCGCCGTAGGCGCGCAGGCGCACTGATATGCCTCACGTCGGCCTCCCTCCGCGGCGAGAGCCACTCCCCGGGTCACCAGGCGCCACTGCAAGGGCGGTTAAAACTAATAGGTGCGCGATGGTGGCGTCTCCCTCGTCTTTTCCTGGCTTCTACCCGTAGCCTTCGCCCCACGCGGGGAAATTTTTTGCTTCAGAAGCGTCCGCCCTGAGGGGGTGAACAGCGCGCCTGCGCGAGAGGGTTCGGCGGCAGCCGCCTGCGCCTGCGCCTGCGCTTGCGCCTCCGCCTCGGGGTTCGGTGACCGCCTGCGCCTGCGCGGCGCGGCGCTGCAGAGACCGTTGGCTCATTTGCATGTCCCCGCCCTCGCGCGGCGGCTGAGGAGCCTGAGGCGGCGGCGGGGGCGGCTCCGCGCGCGGTGGGCTCGGGGTGAGGCCGGGCGCTTCTGAGCCCGGGGCGGGGGGCTGGCTCACCAGGGCCGAGGGCGGAGGAACGTGGCGGGGGGCTGGGCGGGGGGCGTGCTGGGTGGGACCCGGGGCGGGAGGCCTGGAAGCGGCGGGAGACCGTGACGGGGGGCCGGGCTGGGGGTCCCGGGGATAGGTGCGCGGCCTCTTGGGCACGTAGGGCCCTTTCGTCGTTCTCGCAGGTCTGACGGGTCGGGACGTGCCCCAGGGGGTTGCCCCTTGCCCCGGTTCATTCATTCCGCCCGAGTCCGGAGCCACCCACTTCGGGGAAGCTGTATCGGGCCCCCAGAATTGGTTAGTTGGTCTGTCCCCACCGCACCCCACCACGAGCTACCCACTCCACAGATGGGGAGACGGAGACACCGAAAGGTTATGTCGCGTAGTTTGGTCCCTTCGCCAGCTGAGGAGGGGCACCCCGGAAAAGGGGGTGATGGTTTGAGGTTTCAGGAGGTATCTTGATGGTTAACGATGCCATCTCTGTATTCCTCAATACTCTTTCTCAGTCTTTTTCTACTCAGACTTCAGGGCTTTGTCCCCACTACCCTGTTTGCCAGTTTCCAGCTGGGGACATCTGACCTTGGGTGGGTCACTTAGCTTGAGTCTCCCTATTCCTATTGTGTATCATATTGCAAGAAGATCCAGGTCTGCTGGGTTGTAGGCAGGTATGAAGGAAGTCGAGGGGGTCCCTTCCCTATAACAGAACCTGGCACAGTGCAAGCTGTGTCACTGGTGAAGGATATCGCCACTCGTGGAGACGCTTCTCAGAGGGAAAGTCAGTTTTCAGAGCCTTTTGGCCCTGTATGTGTAAAAATGGAAAACACAGCATCTTTCCTAACCACCACTTTGATGGTTATGTTCTCACTGCCCTGCCATGTTCAGTTATGTGTATTGCTACTTGCTGTCCTCCAGCATCTCCCAGAGGTGGAACTGCTCTTAAGGGATTCTAAAGCAATAGGCTCAGAGAAGCAGAAAACATGTCTAAGATCATCTTGCTCCTTCCCAGCCAACACACATCTGTTAGGTTTTCTCAAATGAGGTATAATTGACATACACTTGTTTCAGATGTGAAACATACTATGTGCTATTTGAGGGCAGAGTTCCTGCCCCCTTAAAGCAATCCAGTGTCCATCAGAAGTACCACACTGGATTATGGATTATTGCTTTGTTATTTTGAGGATTAAATTAAAACAGCAGGCTCTCTGAGCTTTAGTTGTCATTATTAGTGTCTTTTTCTCCTCTCACTACAGGTCAGAGAAACATGGCAGCAAGGCGAATCACCCAGGAGACTTTGGATGCTGTGTTACAAGAAAAAGCTAACCGGTATCACATGGACCCCAGTGGTGAGGGTGTAGGTGAAGCTCTTCAGTTTAAAGCTCAAGGTAAATTAAAGAGCTTGGTTTGCAAGTGGTAGGGCTGGGTTGTAGGGATGGTGTGTGTTTAGAGTTGGGGAGGAAGATTTCAGTGCCTTGGCACACTATGCAACCCCTCTGCTCCTACATTCTTTAAGGGGAGAGGAAGTTTTCCGTGGTCTACCTGTGAAATCATTCTGCGAAGGAAGTGTTATCTGGAGCTTCTCCTCCCCAGGCAGCCTCCCCCATCTAAAGAAGGTCTCTTACCTACTTCCTTACCCCTTAGAGGTAACCACATCTATGGTGATTTGTGAATCCTTTATGTGTGTGTATATGGAGATTTACGTCTTATTTTGCCTACTCAAACACTAATACCATTAGGTACCTCAAGAAATATTGAGGGAGAGGGACTAGAAACTCAACAGGAGTCAGATGGTTCTGAAACCATGTCTTTTGTTATGGCTACATGGTCCATTGGTTGCCTTTTCTCTATCTCTGCTGTACTCTGCAATTTTCAGATACCTTGTAAACCATTGGAAAATTATTTTGTGTAAAATCCAGCCACCACTCTACCTCAAGTGCTATGGCCTTAGGCCCTAACCACACCATCAATACCTGGATGATCCCAGTGGGCTCTTTTTTGGAACATCCACTCTGTCTTTCAGTCTGTTCCTCACAACAGCCAGTGAGGTCATCCCTCTGCTCCAAACCTGTCCATGGCTCTCCCTCACATTCAGAGTAAACTTGGAATCACATCGATGTCTGGCTTAACCTGGCACCCTCCTTTCTATTTGCATCTCCTATTATAGTGATTGCCTAACTTTACTGCACAGTTGATTTCACTTGGGGACCTTTTAACCCTGAGCTCCAGCCAGGATTAAATGATGTTGTGTTCCATGGGTATTCCATTTTCAACAGAATTTAGGAGCACCCGTCTTAACAATCTGCCTCCTGCTGGTCTCACCTTAGGGCTTTGTCCTCCCCTTCTGCCTGGAAGACTTTCTCCCTTCACTGCAAATATGACCCCTCTGCACCAGGGCTCTGCCGCTCAAAGTTTCCCTACTTGCCCAACCTATCTGAAAAACTCCCTCTCTTGTTCTGTCTGCTTCATGTTTCTGTGGACACTTCCTCACATCTGGTGGGTTTATGTTTATTATTTGACTCCCCAACTCCTGACAAGTCCAGAAAGCAGGTATTTTGCTGTCTCCTTTCCCTGCTGGAACTTCGATACCTGAAGTAGTACCAGCAGTAGGCACTCAATAAATACTTTCTTTGCAGATAAACTGGATTTGTGCAAGGTTCTGGCTTCCTGTGGCCTTTAGACCTATTACTATCTTCTCTCATCCCTTCACTTTTCATTTTGCTTTTTGACTAGGTGATAGGTTCTAGCTAGGGATTAGAAACCCCCATGCAAAGTCTCTCCAGGCTCCTCTCCCTGTTTGTCTGTAGTTCACTTGTATTCTTAGTATCTGACAGTCTCTGTGTGTGAAGGAACAAGTACACATACATTGCCCTGTGTTCTTTCTTTCTACACAAGAGAACAAAAGTTCATGCTTTCTGTTTTCATGATGGCCTCTCAATGTGGCTTGTTTAGTGTGTGCCTTCCTTCCTTCTCTGCTTCTGTCTGTTTTTTTGTTTTTTGTTGTTTTTTGTTTTTTTTCCCAGAGCTTTTTTGGCCCAGTGGACCTTCTGAGAGAACATGTCAGCCAGCTTTTTGTCAAGTGCTGGTATGGTGGGTGCAGTGTCAAATGTAAGAATGAGTATGAACAGATTCTTCAGAGCCAAGGCAGGAGACCTGAATTGGTGCAGAGCCTGCTGCCTGATTTGCAACACCTTCATCAGGCAGCTGCAAACCCCGTGCTTGTAGGGCTTCTGTTTTATAAGTAGTAAATCAGATTTTTAAGTGAAACCACATGCATTTTAAATGCTGGCAACAGATAATGAATTTGTAAAATGTGCTCAGGCCAGATAAAGTATTCCTCCTGGCTGGGATCCAAGGACCGTCTGTTTGCAACCTCTGATCTAAAGTACCTTTGTGTTTCTTTTTGCATCATTTATTTCAGATCTTCTAAGGACCGTCCCAAGAACCAGAGCAGATGTGTGTGACGACATTCACAGCGATAGTAGGTACTCACTTAGTGGATCCATAACTCACTCTCGAGACACTGGGAGAGAAGGCCTTAGAGGTGAAGTCTTTCCAGGACCATCCTTCAGATCAAGCAATCCCTCTATAAGTGAGGACAATTATTTTCGCAAAGAATGTGGCCGGGATCTGGAATTTTCCCACCCTGACTCCCGAGACCAGGTCTTTGGCCATCGGAAATTGGGACATTTTCGTTCTCAGGACTGGAAGTTTGCACTCCGTGGTTCGTGGGAACAGGACTTTGGCCACCCAGTTTCTCAAGAATCCTCTTGGTCACAGGAGTATAGCTTTGGTCCGTCAACATTACTTGGGGGCTTTGCCTCCTCCAGGCTGATTGAGAAAGAATGTCTGGAGAAGGAGAGTCGAGATTATGACATCGACCATCCAGGGGAGGCAGACTCTTTGCTCAGGGGCAGTGGCCGAGGTCTCAAAATTGTTGACCAGGAGGGTGCCCTCCTAGGGAAGGGGGATACTCAGGGCCTGCTCATGCCAAAAGTAGGGGCTGGGAAACGTGTCACACTGAGAAGTGTGAGCACAAAAAAAGTACCCACTATAAATCGTGTGACCCCCAAAACTCAGGGCACTAATCAAATCCAGAAAACCACCCCAAGTCCTGATGTGACTCTCGGGACAAACCCAGGGACAGAAGATATACAGTTCCCCACTCAGAAGATCCCTTTAGGTCTCAATCTGAAGGATGTTCGGCTTTCCAGGAGGAAGATGAGCTTTGACCCCATAGATAAGTCTGATGTTTTTTCAAGATTTGGAATAGAAATAATCAAGTGGGCAGGATTCCACACCATAAAAGATGATGTTAAATTTTCCCAGCTTTTCCAGACTCTCTTTGAGCTTGAAACTGAAACCTGTGCTAAAATGCTGGCCTCATTCAAATGCTCTTTAAAACCAGAGCACAGAGATTTTTGCTTTTTTACTATCAAATTTTTAAAGCACTCTGCTTTGAAAACACCCAGAGTTGATAACGAGTTTTTAAACATGCTTTTAGACAAAGGTGCTGTAAAGACCAAAAATTGCTTTTTTGAAATCATAAAGCCTTTTGACAAGTACATCATGAGGCTTCAAGACCGGCTCCTGAAGAGTGTCACGCCCTTGCTCATGGCCTGTAATGCTTATGAGCTGAGTGTCAAAATGAAGACCCTTAGCAACCCCTTGGACTTGGCTGTTGCCCTAGAGACCACAAATTCCCTTTGTCGGAAGTCTTTGGCCCTTTTGGGACAGACCTTCTCCTTGGCCTCTTCTTTCCGGCAAGAGAAGATCTTAGAAGCTGTTGGCCTCCAAGATATTGCTCCTTCTCCTGCTGCATTTCCAAACTTTGAAGACTCCACTCTGTTTGGGAGAGAGTATATTGACCACCTGAAGGCCTGGCTTGTCAGCAGTGGGTGTCCACTCCAGGTCAAGAAGGCTGAACCTGAGCCGCTTCATGAGGAGGAGAAAATGGTTCCTTCTCTGAAACCCAAAATTCAGCCAAAGGCTTCAAGTGTTCTGAGTGATGGTAAGAAAAGCAGTGAAAGTTTCTATTCATTGTGGTTTGTTTTTCATGTCCTCTTGCAATGTCTCTTATTCTCAGATTTTTACATGGAATTTGTTTAGCCAATTGGAAACAAATTAGAACTTTAGTAGAAAGTTGGCATTGGTTAGTGTACCATTCATTGTGCAAACATGTAGCGGGAATCTTCTGTCTAACCATAGAAGTCCTTAGACATTTTGGGTTGCAGATGCCTTTAGGAATCTGACAAGTAGCTGTGGCCCTTGTTAGGAAAAATGTGTATGAATTTGCATACAATTTGTCTGCATTTCTGGGGGATTGTACCCTCCTGCAGTCAAGGTTAAGAAGCCCTCTTCCAACAGTCCTCTAGGTATTACTTGAAAGAAGAATGAATTCCAAGCACTTTTTTGAGGGATCTCTAGGTTCATGAAAGAAGAAATCTCAATTCCCAGCTGTAGGAGTAAGAGAGCCCATGCTGAACTATGTAGAGGCCAAGCAGGGTTCAGACATCAGTCCAGATACTGGAGGCACCTTTCCACCTGCTCTCTTCAGGTTGGCTGCAGATGACTTAGGTACATCTGGTAACCTGCAGTTAACATGTTGGTTTACTGAGGCAATAGGAAAGAGATGAATGGCTACCTGGTTTTCTTTTCCCCTTCCCTAAACTAGCCCAGGTGGATGCTCTTACAGCCCAGAATCCCAGAGGCCATGAACCTGTGTACTGGCCATGTGACCAGTGATGAAGACTTTGCCCTCATTACCTCGTTATGTGGGTTTCAGTTTCCATTCCCCATTAAGCAGGGATATTTCATTTGTCCCTGAATCTTTTGACTCCTGTGCACTTTGTAGAGCCCTGGCTATGCCAGTCACTAGTTAGGTCACTCATGGATGGGCAGCCACACTTTACTCTTGGAGAGGGAGCCTTCCAGCAATGGGATTTCTCCTCCTTACATGTACCTCTCTCCAGCATGGTAGAGGGAAAGTCGCTTCAGCAGCCATACTGGAATGGTTGATGGAGGAAGAAAAAGTCAGCCACAACCTGAAGGCACTCATCACCCTTCCCCTTTCCCAGGATTGTCACACAGGCTTTTCTCTGTGCTTCACAGCACCTGTTACAGGCATGATCCTCAGTCACCTCATGTAAATGATATCACCTTTCCCTTGATGTTGGATTCCCACTTCTGAAGTCAGCAAGAGCTGGGTTCCCATGTAATTGGTGTCCTTAGCTCTCATCTGGACAGCATGAGCACCCATGTTACATGGATACTGACCTGCGCTACTTCTGTTACTGTTAGACTTGCTGGGATAGCATCTTTGGTTGATTTTCTATTATTAGTAGTATTTAATTTTTTTTTTAAATCCTTCCTTAAAAGAGAGATTCTCAGGGGCCTCATTGGTGGCCTAGGGGTTAAGTCTTAGTGCTATCACCTCTGGCCTGAGTTCGATCCCCAGCCAGGGAGCTAACCCACATATGGCACAGACCTCTCCCGTCTCGCCCGTCACTCTTCTCACTCTTCAGTAAATCTGCCTGTTTTGCTCCCCACTCTGTCTCTGGTGGATCCTCTCACCCACTGCACCTCTGGCCTACACCCCAGTTCTTCTATGTAAAAAATAAAATATTTTTTAAAAAAAGATTTCTCGGCAGAATATTGCTGGGATCCACTTCACAGCCCTAGCTTATGGTCATCTTCTCTAGAGACAGTTGCAGCAATTCATAGATTTCATTATCTTTCAAAGTTTCTTGACTTTGAACCTCTTATACTTTTGTAAAATTACATAAAATTAGCAGTACTATAAGATGAGAGTAACCAGCAACCAAAAAAGAATACAGTTTGCCAGGGAAATACTTGCAGTAATATGACTACTGAAAGATCAACTTGTCCTGTGTAAAGTGCTTACACTGATGCTTCAAGTAAACTCACAGCTACCATGTGGGCACAGGTAGAGACAGGACTGGGCAGGTATTCCACAGAACAACTGGAAAACCTCTCTAGGTCTGAGTGAATTTTACTGAATGAGTGAACAAACAGACTGTCGCAAATATCAGGAGACTATAAACGGTCTTAGTATTTGAGAATACAGATGTTTTTCTGTGTTGCTGGTGACATTGTCAATTACATGTCATATAGGAGAAAATTCACACTTTGAAAAGCATTTTTATACATTCAACAAATAATTGCCACAAACACATACCCTGTGATCCCTGACTTTTTTAATTAGGAAATTTTTCTTTTTTTAAAGACTTATTTATTCATGCATATAAGAGCTGGGGTGTAGGCCAGGGGTGTGGGGAATAAGAGAATTCACCAGAGACAGAATGGGGAGCAGAACAGGCAGATCTACTGAAATGCGCTGCTGAGCGGAGCAGCGGGCAAGACAGGAGAGGTCTGCTGTGCCATGTGGGTTAGCTTCCTGGCCGGGGATCAAACTCCTGCCGCAGTAGCTGCGGATTGCTTATTAGTGCTGACGCTCAACCCTTTATGCCATCAGGGAGGCCCAATTAGGGAATTTTTCTTTGTAAATATGTTTTGTGATAATAAAGTCATTCATATTTATTTTTTATAAATAAAGCAAAAGTAAGTAAAATCCCAGATAAGTTTACCACTCATATGTAACTTGTTAGAAGTCTGGTATATTTCCTTCAAGTCTTTTCTGTGTCCATATGTATATATGTATGTATGTGTGTATGTGTGTGTCTTTTCTTCCCTCCTTCATTTGAGGAATCATGACCTTGATACAATTTTTACATGTTTTGAATCTATGTACATTTTATGTCTTTGTATTTTCCTTTAGTATTGTTTGCATTCAAGTTGAGTGGTATGAAAAGTGGTACCATTTCCTTCCATAGAAGATGTACATTCATTGCCCTGTACTGTCATTGTGACTCTCCCCACAGTAGTTATGTTACAGCCTTTGGGAGGGCATTTTGCATATTAGTTTCTAGAGTGTCACACATTGCCTTCCTCTTTTCAATGCTGGTCTATCAGGAATGAAGGTTTCAGTAGCGGGTGCCAGCTTAGGCTCCATCCTAGGCCCTGACTATCTTGGTCTTCCTCAGCCTCATGTGGCCATGCTTGTTTCTCAGAAAACCCTTTCTTGTGTGTTGCAGCAGTCCCCCAGCGTGCAGATCACAAGGTGGTAGACACCATCGACCAGTTGGTCTCACGTGTCGTCGGAGGCAGCCTGTCTCCCAAAGAGAGAGCTCTCCTCAAGGAGGACCCTGCTTATTGGTAGGTCTTTCTGTCCCGCCTTTGGATCCCTTTAGTAGAGCACGTGGCTTTTGTTAAGATTTATTTTTATTTATGCACACAAGAAATGGGGTCTAGACCAGAGGTGCAGGGGGTAAGAGGATTCACCAGAGACACAGTGGGGAGCAGAACAGGCAGATCCACTGAAATACATTGTTGAGGGGCGTAGCAGGCAAGACAGGAGAGGTCTGCTGCGCCATGTGGGTTATTTCCCTGGCCGGGGATGAACTCAAGCTGTAGTGGCTGGCTATAGCTTGATCATGCTGAGACTTAACCCCTTTCACCACCGCACCATCAGGGAGGCCCCCGCGCCACCAGGGAGGTCCCCCGCATATGGCATTTTTGTGTAACTGACTCTGGTAGTATGGAGCGCATGAGGGTGAATAGCAGTGAACAGCTAGTAGGCAGAGCATGAGGGTGAGTTAGAGTCACATGGGTTCCAGCCCCAGCCAGCCCTACTATAGACCTGCCATGAGCCTTTCATGCAGCTCAAAGCTTCTTGTGCTGCTGTGCTGACTTAAGGATGCAGTGAGGAGTATATGCAAAAAGCCCTGTCCCAGCAGCTATTTTTCATCTACTTGCTACTGTTTGTTCAACTGTCTTTCCTTTTGCCTTAGTGCCTCTTCACGTGAACAGAACAACTTTAAAATTTTCATCAAAAATATAGTACTTTCTGGGCCTCCCCGGTGGCGCAGCGGTTGAGCGCTGGGTTGTGAAGCTGCCTGCAGCCTCTGCAGTGCCAGTTCGATCCCCGGCTGCTCCCCGGCCACCAGAGGAGGGTCCCACATGGCGCGCAGACCTCTCCTGCCGCCTGCTGCTCCCCTCAGCAGTGTACTTCGGTCCTTCTGCCTGCTCTGCTCCCCGCTCTGACTCTGGTGAATCCTCTCACCCTCCCGCACTTCTGACTGTACCCAGTGCTTGTATAAATAAATAAGTAAATCTAAAAAAAAAAAACAAAAAACGATAAAAACCATAAAAAAGTTTTAAAAAAAATATATAGTACTTTCTTATTAGAGAAAGTCAAGTCGGGGGAAGCCCTTTGTGTGTCTACTGACTGAAAGGAGAAAGCACCTTTTTTGGGTATTTGGTCCCTGTTTACCTACAGCTTTTTTGCTCACTTCATAAACATTAGTTTAGACAACTGTGTTAGCTAGCCTTGTGCTAGGTGGTCAGAATTTGTTTAGCTATTCTTTGTTGGACTTCTAGAATGGCTTTGATTATATGCTGTTTCAAGTTGCTTTAGCAGTATCACAATATGTCGCATTTTAGCATGTGTGTAGAATCGTGCCTAGGTTGCTGCAAATGGAGTATTTTTATTCCATGGTAACTTTTTTTTTTTTTATTATCAAAGTGGTATGTGTTGTGTGCTTTGTAAAGATGCAGTCACTCAACTGTCCCTCATTGTGTGGTGTTTTGTTATGGGTTTTTTTTCCCCACCTATCCTTCCCAATTCCTAGGCTTTAAATTTAGCATAATTGTGGGCCTCCCCTGGTGGTGCAGCGGTTGAGCGCTGGGTTGCGAGGCTGCCCGCAGCCTCTGCAGCACCAGTTCAATCCCTGGCTACCAGCGAGGGTCCCACAAAAAAAAAAAAAAAATTTAGCATAATTGTCCTTAGTACCAATGGATGCATCATACACATATGCCATATCTTAACATTGCCCCTTGGTAAGTTCTTAGATTCTCTTCAGTCTACCTACCTACAAATAATGTTACAATGAACAGTGTCATGCTTATATTTTTGTCCATATATAGGTACTTATATTCATGTACTTATGAGTGTAATATCTGGGAGTGAAATTGATGAGTTTAAGGGAGAGCTCCCTTTGGAGACCATTAGCCTGTGTCTGTGTTTCTCAACTGCAGTGTGACTGACATTTAGGATCATCTCTGTCAGGGAACCATCATAGGCATTGCAGCATTTTAGCCTCCACCCAGTGGATGCCAGGGGAATCCTGCAGCCCAGCTGTGATAGCCAGAATGCCTTTAGACACGGCACAGTATCCGCTGGGGCCATCTACCCTGGTGTTGTCATCAGGTTACCTTCCATGGGTTATGTCCCAGATGACATGCTTGCTGCCCATGACACATGGCATACAACACACATGCCATGTCCTCACCTGAGTGTTTTGACTTGAAGATAATTTCATAGCATGATGTCTTGCCTTGTATTCCCTTGTTAATTAACAAGATTACATGTCATCTCACAGAACATCTAGTTATATTTCATTTTTTTGAGTGCTCAGTTCTAATCATGTGTAGTCAACAGTATACCCATACCAAACTCAGTATTCTTGCTGTTGTAATTACTAAAGATGCTTTAAAGGCATGCATTTCCATGTAGCAGACCCAGAGCTTTGGAACTGTTCTTTGGAACCAGTGTGATTTAGCAGAAGAGGGTTGGAGATTGTTACGGTTTTAGTTTTACAGAATTTGTAAAGTCATCTGTTTTATTTTCAAGTATAGAATGAGTACACATGTAACTTAAAAGTTTAAAATCCCCTGGTAACCTAATTGTCCCAGCATCACTTGTTGAATGCTTTCTATTTAATAAACCCTTTTGCTTTCTGTGCACTTTGTACCATTCTGAGTGATTTACTGACTTGAGCACTAGCTGGCCAAATCCTCATAACAACCCTGTGAAGAATACATGTTGTCATCCTTATTTTGCAGATAGGAAACTTGAGGCTGGAAGAGGCCTCTTGCCTTAAAGATGCACAACTAGTAAGAGGCAGGGCTGTATTGGAGGGTGGAATTCGGGTAGTCTCAGATAGACAAATGAAAGCAGAGACCAAGCTTGGGACAGCTTCCAGGTGATTGATGGGTGACTGGCTGAAGGGAGAGAGCACCTGAGAGAACTGGGGTGTGCTCTGCCTGTGACCATTACATATGGGCCAGCAGGCTCATGACTGACCGCTGTGGTAGGCAGAGCCATAATAAGGGCGTGCAAATCAGAAATAAGCATTATGGGGCCTCCCCAGTGGCGCAGCGGTTGAGTGCTGGGCTGCGAAGCTGCCTCAGCCTCTGCAGCGCCTGTTTGATCCCCGGCCACCGGTGAGGGTCCCACATGGCGCGCAGACCTTTCCTGCTGCCCGCTGCTCCCCTCAGCAGTGTATTTCATCAGTCTGCCTGTTCTGCTCCCCTCTCTGGCTCTGGTGAATTCTCTCACCCTCCCACACTTCTGACTGTACCCAGTGCTTATATAAATAAATAAATAAATCTTAAAAAAAAAAAAAAAAAGAAGCATGGAATTATGGAAATTAAATAGTTGAGGAAAATCAATATAATGAGTGAGGCACTAAATTCAACAGACAGTTAACACCTGAGAAAATAGTTACTATAAGCAAAAGATTTAGTCTAAATAAGGTATGTATAATTAATAATCTTAGGTGGATAATAGTATATTATATCCATGAAACATATTATTGAAAAAAACTATTAATGTGCATATCATGGAAAAGAACTATTATTAAGGGTCTTGGAAATGAAAATTCTAATTGTTGAAATAAAAATATCAAAGGTTGACTACTGGAATAGACCTGGCTGGAGAACAGGTTAAGGAGTGAGACTTAGGGACCCATGAGATCCTTCAGAAGGGAAGGGGAGGGAGAAGTATGCCATAGAAACCATGATAAGAGATAGTGAGCCTGGGTTTGGGAGGTATGTTTGAATTCTTTTTTTTTTTTTTTTTAATTTTTTTTTTTTTTAATAGAGGCATGTTTTATTTATTTATTTTGTTTGTTTGTTTGTTTTGTTTATACATGCACTGGGTACAGTCAGAAGCGCGGGAGGGTGAGAGAATTCACCAGAGCCAGAGCGGGGAGCAGAGCAGGCAGAAGGACCGAAGTACACTGCTGAGGGGAGCAGCGGGCGGCAGGAGAGGTCTGCGCGCCATGTGGGATCCTCCACCGGTGGCCGGGGAGCAGCCGGGGATTGAACCGGCTCCTCAGAGGCCGCGGGCAGCTTCGCAACCCAGCGCTCAACCGCTGTGCCACCGGGGAGGCCCTGTTTGAATTCTTAGTCAAACTTCTTTATGTGGTTTGCCAAAGTAATTTATGGAACTAATCACAAAAAGCAAAGTGTTTCTGCCATAACTGGTTCCCATGCCAGTTCCACTCCTTGGAAGTATCACTTTTGTTCTTTATGCTGCCACTTACCTCTGTATCTCTGGGTGAGAAACCTGCATTCTCTTTCTTGATCTGTTGGCTTTATGCATCACTGTTGAAGCCCTATAGAGTAAGTGAGGATTTTATCCCTTTTCTTCCAGTTGTTTCTCAGAGGACCTCCTTCTTTCTAGGCCTCAGTGCATTTAATCGGTTCTTCCTAGTAGTTACCAAGTGAAAGGTTCAAACCTCAGAGGAGAACTGTGAGTTAGAGGATTTCCATTCTCTCTCCCTAGTGAAATCCAACAGAGATTTGCTATCACCCCCTCCTCAAGGACAGGGTTTGTTCATAGCTGAGTCCTGGGGACACAAGTGACTGCTGCTTTTCGCGCCAGGCTGCCTGCCTTATCTGGGGCCTTAAAGGGTTGTCAGACAGACACTGTACTTTCTACATTCTCTTCAATCTCTTGCAGAGCAACAAGCCTGTAGAATGGGCCCAGCAATGCTGACAGAACACATACGCTTTGTTGTCTGCCATCTTCTGTACTCTGTCTCAGCAGTGGTATTGCCCTGACCTGTGCTGGTCCTTGTTTCCAGGGACAGCCCACCAAGATCACATGTTTCTTTGCAGAAAAAGCAAGTGACTAGAATCCCTCTTGGTTTGTCAGCATAATTGTCCAAGTGCTCCAACATCTGAATAACTGATGCTTGGGGATCACTAAAATCCCAAATGATTTAAGTATTCAAGGTGGCAAGGGGAAAGAGGGAAGTGGACACTGAGACTCTCACCTCATTCAGAATGAGAATAGCTAGTGGATAACTCTGGATGTTGACAGAGAATAAGAGTTTAAATGTGTGTCAATTAGCCATTAAAGGCATAAAGATGGGATTTATAACTTCTGTTATAGAGGGGAAAAAAGCAAAACAGAAAATGTTTTCAACCCAATGAAAAGCCAAGAAAGGGGAAAAAATTCAAAAAGAAGGGCAAATAGGAAACAGGAGCACAACATCATGATACGTTTTCCTTGTTAATAATCCACACATATCTGTGGATGACATCTCCACTAGCTGAGAGAGGTTTAAAAGGACCAACTACACATCGGGAGCACACAAGGGGAAGTGACTTAGAAACTGCTGCCTGGACCAATAACCCAATTCCCTGGAAGCAGAAGGGTTGGAGTAAGCAGCTCCTGCCCCTCATTTAAGACAAGAACCCCCTGCCAACCCGCAGTCATTCTGTCTCTAAAGAAATTTTGCTTTTGCTTGTGCTAAAATAAACAAACAAATAAATAAAAGAACCTGCTGTTAGCTTCAATACAGGGAGTAGTAAACAAAAATGAAAATTACTTACCATGCAAATGCTACCAGAAAGAAAGGTGTGGATATAGTACTTCAAATAAGATGGAGAAAAGCATTGCAGGAGGTTACTGACAAGGGAGAGTCACCTTGAAGCCACATGGTTGGGAATGTTGTTGAACTATATAGTTGTGAACTATATAAATATACAAAACTTAGAAATGAATTAGTAGGCCTCCCTGATGGCGCAGGGGTTAAAGACAGTGCTGTCAGGCTGTAGCCAGCCACTGCAGCACGAGTTCAATACCTGACCGGCCAGGTTGCTGGCCCACGCGGTGTAGCAGACCTCTCTAGCCTCGCCCGCTGCTCCCCTCAGCAGTGTATTTCAGTCAGTCTGCCTGTTTTGCTCCCCACTCTCTCTCATCCTCTTCACCTCTGGCTACATCCCAGTTCTGGTCTGTATAAATAAAAAATCTTAAAAAAAAAAAAAAAAGGAAATGAATTAGTAAATCTTACCATGGTAGGAGAAGGGAATATATTTCTCTGAAATTAATAAATGCTGTTATGTCAGCAAGGGTGTAGAGGATTTAGAATACAGTGAACTGGCATAAACAGGGATGATATTTGAAGCATTTCCTTATAGTAAAAAGTACTTAAAACATAAGCCTCATGGGTCTTCCTAGTGGTGCAGCGAGTTGAGTGTAGTGCTGTGAAGCTGTCCGCAGCCTCCGCGGCATGGAGTCAATTCCCGGCCAGCCAGGGAGATTCTCACATGGTGCAGCAGACCTCTTCTGTCTCGCCCACTGCTCCCCTCTGCAGTGCTTTCGGTCTGTCTGTCTGTTCTGCTCCCCGCTCTGTCTCTGGTGAATCCTCCCATCCTCCCATGCCTCTAACCTGTACCCCAGCTATTGTATAAATAAAAATAAATAAATAAATAAAAATGTCTTAAAATAGATGTTTTTGCCTTTTAAAAAAACAAACAAACCTCACAACAACACAAGCAAGCCATCCCATTTGGGACAGGGGAATCCTTGCTTGTCAGGGTGTGATCTTGGAGGATGCTGCTATCAGCTCAGCAGAATGACTAGGATGGAATGCTTACACAACAGATTTCCCCAGCATTTTGCAGGAGCTTCATACAGCACTGCCCACCAGGAACCAGTCAGCCTTTGCTTAGCGTGATCTCCTGTCTTCTGGTTGGCTGGTCATTGGTGATTGGGAACCTTGTCATAATACATGAAGTCTTAATGTCAAATGATGTGAGCACCACAGAAATATTGCTTACTCATCAAATACTCATTCTCTATACAAACTGAAATTGAACATTCTCTCTGATGCGTGAGGTCATATCTGGGAAAGAAAAGTCATATGGACCACATGTAATACATGAGCACTGAGACCAGAACAGCCAAAGTAAAACCTGATTCTTTGAGCAAAGGGAAATTTTTGAGCAAAGGGAAATCAGAGACTTCAGCAGGAAGTAATAGCTAGAGAGCTGCAGACCCAGTGTAGCCTTAGCAAAGCTGAGGGACAGTGTGACTTTGAACACATTTACAGAAGTAGAATGAGTAGATGCTTTTGATCCATGAGACTCGAGGGAAATGGGGAGAAGTCCAGACTCCAGAAGGGTGGGGTAACGGGAGAAGGAAGGGGCTACTGGGGTAGAAAACAAAAAATGTGAAGACCCCTCCACACTCCTTTCCATCCATTCCTCAGAGTGAATGATTGCCCTCGCTTATATTTTTTTCACCACTGTAACAAAGTGGACATCCATGGATGTATGTATACCAAGCTGTTTCATACAGTCACGGTCTTCTATAACTGTATTCCCTGGCCATGTCACCGGCACCTTTTGACATCAGTATGTGTAACCCTGATTTCTTCTGTACTGTCTTCATGGTAACCCTGCATGTGGTTTCCCAGTAGTAGCGTGCTGCTCAGTTTAAAGGTCACTGAGCCCCCAGTCTCACTGGTCATTTGAAGGACTCACTCCCATTATAGGTAATCTAGTAGCAGCTAAGTGCCTCGTGGCATCAGGACTGTTGGTTTGTGTTGCAATACCAGCAGGGGTTGTGAGCTCTTCATGGCTGCTGGTGACAAAATAAAGAAGGAATTGATCAGTGTTCAGAGTTCCTGATTGCCCTGTGGTCACTATAGGCAGAATGGGGAACTGGGCCCTGCTCTGAGTCCTTATGGGATCTGTATGGATCCTCCAGGACAGCAGGGAGGTTGCCACTTAGAGTTTATAATAATGATGTGTGGTGGTGTTTTGACCAATGTCCTGCTGTCTTGTTTGTCATACAGGTTTCTGTCTGACGATAGTAGTCTGGAGTATAAATACTATAAGCTGAAACTGGCAGAAGTGCAACGGATGAGCCAAACCTTGCCAGGAGTGGATCAGAAGCCAGTGGTGGCAGAGTGTGCAGTCAGGGCCATGCTGTATGCCCGGGCAGTCCGGAGCCTCAAAAAGAGGCTCCTTCCAGGGCGCCGTCGGGGACTTCGCTTTCAAGGGTTCCGGGGCTGGAAGGGAAGGAGAGCAACTACTGGCACCCAGACCCTCCTCTCCTCAGGCACCAGATTGAGGCACCACAGCCGGCAGGCTTCAGGCTCCCTTCCGGGAAAGCCTCCCAAGCCAGACAGAAGTGGTATTGCCAAGAACTGCCTGCCAGACCCAGCTGGACCCTCTCCTCAGGATCCCAGCTCAGAAAGCTCAGCCCCATCACCCAAGCCAGTGGGAGTGGACACTTCAGAAGCCCCTCAGACCTCTTCTCCCTGCCCATCTGCTGATGGTGAGTGCTTATTCTTGTCTCCTTCTCTGGGCCCAGCCCCTACCCTCTCTCTCCAGTGGTCTCTGCAGAGGGAATTGCTTCTGCAAGCTGGGCAGGGCAGTGGGTAATACCCACAGAGATCTGGCTGGAACATGTTCAAAGGCGCTCTCCTCTTGCTTCCAATAGGGGACAGCCTGTGAATCCTGGTGTGCTCTTCCTGGTCCTGGAGGGAAGCTGTCTCAAGGTGCCTCCCTCGAGGTTCCACTGCTGGGCAGCAGGATGTGCTTGTGCTGTGCTTGGCACTCAAGTTCCTTGATCCATTTCTCATTCTAGTCCCTTTATGTTCCTTAGGGCTGCCCTCATCGCCTCCTGCCTCTTCTTTTCTGGGTATCTGTATTTCTGTTCTCAGGGTTAGCTCACCTATAGTTTTTCTCCTGAATTTATTAACTTAATTCTTCTGTTTTCCTGGCCATTTGACCTTCTCACTCTGACATAGGCCTGCCCCCACCCCCACCCCAACCACTTGGCACTAGGTGGGAATGTAAGAAGAGAATCCACACTACTGCTCTGTAATTCGCCATCCCAAGCTATGACTTAAGATAGGAGGCCTCTGTTTCTCTGAGTCTGCTTAGCCAGGCTAAGGCTGTACATGTATGTGCAGAGAGTAGCCAGTTGTCTGGACTGTGGGTTGAGGTAATGGAGGTGGCTGGGCCATGTGTCTGCCACTCCCTGGCAGCAGGCCTGAGTTTGCTTTCCTAATGGTTAGGATTAGGCCTCCAGGTGAGGCATGGGGGGTGTTGCAGGCCTCTGTTGGTAGGCCTCGTTCTACCACATTCTGTTAGTCAGTCCTGATTCAAGGCAAGAGAAAAGGGGGAATTTGATGTGAGAGAGCCCAGCAGACTTGCAGAGCCATGTGGCAAAGGGGGAGGACATAAAAGATTCTGTTTTCAGTCTCTACCCCACATTGTTCAAGTGGTAGCTAGGAACCAACGTGTGATCCGTGTTTTGTTTTACAGTTGATAAGAAGACGATGGAAACTGCAGAGAAACTGGCAAAATTTGTCGCTCAGGTGGGACCAGAGATTGAACAATTCAGCATAGAAAATAGTACCGACAACCCTGACCTGTGGTATGTGCCCATCATATCCTTTAAATTGGAGTGTGTTCATCTCATAAGACACACTCTTGACCTAGGGTTCACCCCAAGTAGGTCTTGCCCGCACTTCTGCTGGGCCATCCCTGGGTCATAGGGAGGGAGACTTGCCCTTATCTGGGGTATCTGGAAAAACTGGCCCAGAGAGAAATTCAAAATGGATCTAAGGGCCAATGGGCATTCTTCATGGGGAGAGAACATCAAGGGCAGAGGGCAGCCCCATCCTCAGGTCCTGAGCTAAGACCAAATGAGGCAGGAAGAGGGTGGGCATGTTGCAGTCATTCTGGCTGTTCTGAGCAGGTGGGAACTTGCTGTTCCTGTAGTTGTGATCACCCTAGACCAGGTGTGGGAGCAAGCACTTCCTCAGGGAAGGGCTGGCACCCTTCCTCAGTTGGGGCTCTGTCAACACCATGCCCCCTACAAACAGGAAAGCCAGCATTGAAGCCAACTCTGCCTCTGGGGCATGTTCTCCTTTGGGGAAAGGCTGTCTGCGGTCAGTAGTCCTAGTACTGAGTTATAACCCAGCTGGGCTCCCACTTGGAGTGGGTAAGTCTCTGTGCTATGTGGATATATCCCCCAGTCCCATGGGGGCTCTGGACCAGCACTCAGCTTTAACAGATCCGCTGGTCTCAGAGTTTGGCTGCCCGTTAACATCCTGTCCTTGCCTTGGCAGCGAAATGGGAGCATTTCTTTTTTCCCCAGTGAAAACTATGGTGTGCAAGAGAACTGCATCATCTAGGCACTTGGCACAGTCATGGTTTGGGTTATACCTTGACTTTTGTGACAGCCTTTTCCAGGATGCAATGTCCCCTCCATCACTTCAGTTAGAACTCTGCTCCTGCAGTCAGCAGGAGATTCACTGTGTGCCCATCTCCTCCCCACCCAGTGCTTCTGAGACAGTGTGAAAATGACTTTTGACATATGCCTGTTTAGTCAAGGCCACAATGACTCGGGTTACTTTTCCCTTAGAAAATCAGTATCTCTAATGTGCTCAGTGGATCTTGAGTGAATCCATTTTGTGTATGCGTTTGCATTACCAATTTATTTTTGTGGATATTCAGTTTTAGAACTTTTTTCTCTTTTAAAAATTTCATCTAAGTACAGCATTTGCATGTACAAAGTAAAAATTACAAATTCTAGAAGGTAGGCTCAAGAAAATTAATCTCCCTCACCCATCCCCCAGAAACTAGATTCATTTCTAGTGTGTGTATATTTCCCCATCTCCTCCACCACAAGTAACTTGCATAGAGCTGCACATCATATGTGGAGGTGCCCTCTGCTGCTGCCACTTGTGCCCTGATTCTCCTGGCCACTGCATAATCCTCCACGTGAGCCATATATAGGCCATTGTAGGCTTTCTATTGGGAAGAGAATCTTTAGGTGTTGTCAGGAGGGGGATTGTTGGGTCTAAGGGCAGTGTGAGTGGTTGTGTTAGATTGTTTAGAGTTTGCTTCTCATGGGCTACTCCCTACAGGGTCAACAGTGCTCCCCAACCCTTTCCCTTCAGGCCAATAGGAAGGACTCAAAACATTTCTGATTTTCTCAGTGAAGTTTTAGTTTGCATTTTTCTTATGACTGAAGTTGAAAAATTTTTTGCATAAATCTAGGTGCCTTATGTGTCTCTTTCTGTAAACTATTCATATCATTTGCCCTATTTAAAAACACTTTTTAAAAAAGATTTATTTATTTTATGCATACAAGAACTGGGGTACAGGCCAGAGGTGTGGGGGGTGAGAGGATTCACCAGAGACAGATTGGGGAACAGAACAGGCAGACTGACTGACATACACTGCTGAAGGGGCAGCGGACGAGTCAGGAGAGGTCTGCTGCACCATGTGGGTTTCTCCTTGGCCAGGAATTGAACTCATGCTGCAGTGGCTGTGGGTAGCTTCATAGTGCTGCATCTTAACCCCTTGTGCCACCAGGGAGGCCCCTGAAAACAGTTTTGTTGAGGTACAGTTGCTACACCACAGACTGCACATTTGTTTGCTAAGTGTTACGCTGTTTACACCCGTGCAGCTGTCATCACAATGGTGGGGGCATCCATGACACATGTCCTTGTGCCTTGTCATCTCCTCAGGCAGTACTAGTCTGCTCTCTATGGAGTTTATGCTTTCTAGAAATTTATGTAGATTCAGTTTGCTCTCTTCTATGCCTAACTCCTTAGCACACCTGTTGCAATTTATTCCCGTTGTGCATGTACCCATAGTTCATGCCTCTGTACTGCTGAGTGTTCCTCCCACTGTGTAGTGATTCCTTTACTGTTTACTGAGCCCTGTACCTCTTGATGGTTTTAGAGATATTTCCAATTTGGTGTCCATGTGCAAGGCCTTCTGTGGTACCTGCTTTCATTTCTCTTGGGTAAATATAAAAAGGCACTTTTGAAGAAAGTGCCAAAACTACCTTTCACAATGGCTGCGTTGTTTCTACAGCTGGGTGAGAGTCCTGTTTCCTCCCCACCCTTACCAGTGCACAGTGGTGGTTGGTGGTGTTTTCCATGTCAGCAGCAGAAAAGCAGTAGTGGTCTGTGGATCCCACGCTGTTTCTCTGTGCTGGCCTCTGTGTATGTATGTGCCTTTTGTGTTTCTTAGTGATGTATTTGAATCTGTGGCCATTTGTTGGTTACATCGTTTGCTAATTAATGAAATTTGAGAATTCATTCTATATTCGTGGTACAAGTCCTTCATCAGATGTGAAATTTGCAGATTTTTCTTCTAATCTGTCACTTGTCTCATTCTGGCAGTGACTTCTGAGGGATGGAAGTTCTAATCTTTGTGCTTTTCATTATTGGGCTTTTTCTTCCTTAATTTATAAGAGCTCTTTTCTGTACTGTAGCTATATCCATTTCCTTCTTCATTTGTCATTTTTTTTACTTTGGTGCATGGCATGGTCTACAATGCATAAGTGTTTTATGTAGTCATATTCCTGAGTTTTTTCCCTTTTTTGCATCTGTATATAAAGTCATAGAAAGAATCTCTCCACACTAGGTTATAAAGACACTTTTATGTTTTCTTCTAAAACTCCTGTGACTTGGTTTTTACGTTTCCATGCCCAGTCTGTGTGGTGTTATTTGGGAGCAGAGGGTACAGCTTGGATCCAATTTAAGTATTTTTCTAAAGCTTCCCAGTTGTGTTGACACCATTCATTAAAAGATTATTTTTTCATAGTGGTGTTTGAGAGGCCAACTCCATCAGAAACTGTGTCTCTAGTCTTTCTCCTGATCTGTGTCCAGGGAATGAATGGACTGTTACCACACTGTTTTAACTGCAGAGGCTTTCTCGCCTATACTCCTTGAAGGGCTAGAGCCCCTCGTTGAGCTTGTGCACAGTTACCCCAGATATATTTGTATGTTTATTTTTCTGTATAAATTCTGGAACCACCCTGTTCAGATCCAGGAAAAAAAAAATGATGCTTTTATTGGGATGTTTGTACAATAATATGTAAATTGGGGGAGAAAGACGCCTTTACCAGGTTGAGTTGTCCTGTCCAGGAACAAGGGCTATCTTCCTTTGCTCCAAGGAGGTCTGGTGTCTTGAGCGTGTTTTGGTTTCTCACAGCAGCCATGCATGCCCCCAACCGTGCCTTTTGGTCTAGGTGACAGTGGGACTCCTCATTGACACCACCTGCTCACAGAATCTTTGTTGGACATGGACCAGGAAGTACTATGGCGACATACCTTCCCTGGTGTGTGAGAGAGGCCAGAGCCCCAGTGAGTAGGCTGCAATGTGCCTGGTGCCCAATAGTGTGGTGACCAGACCTGTGACTGCCATGGAACTCATCCAGGGACCTCAGTTGTTCCTACACCAAAACAGTTAGGTTCCTGTGTAAAGTTACTAATACTCCTCAAACTATGTCTTGAAAAGAGATATACCATCAGCCTTACTGGTAGAAAGAGGACCTGGTATTGTCTCCTCTGTCCCACCCCAACTTTGTGGACCTGGCTGACAGTTTCAGCAAATAAGGATCTTCAGAGGACACTCAGGGTAACTGGTATCTTTCATTTACCCCAGGTTCCTACATGACCAAAATAGCTCAGCTTTCAAATTCTATCGCAAGAAAGTATTTGAGCTGTGCCCGTCAATTTGTTTTACATCGTCTTCGCTGAGCCTCCACACTGGCGAGCACACTGAACGTCAGGAGAGTGCCCTGGACCCTGGGGAAGAGGAAGGAGAATCTGAGGATGAGCACCCCCATCAAGAGACTGAGCTGGAGAGCCCAGAGTTGATGCCTGAGGAGGAAGAGGATGAGGAAGAGGAGGGGGAGGGGGAGGAGGAGGAGGAGGAAGATGAAGATGAGGAGGGGGGTGAAGAAGCCCCTGCTCCTGGAAGGGCATCCAGGCTGGGAGGTGCCACCAAGTCCGACGGTAGTCTCCCTGCTGATGGCTTCCCTAGTGAGATGACTGAGGATGGCCCAGCAGGTGCACCTGCCCTATCACAGACTGCCTCGGGGGCCTGCTTCCCCAGGAAGAGGGTCAGCAGCAAGTCACTGAAGGTTGGCATGATTCCAGCTCCCAAGAGGCTGTGCCTCATCCAGGAACCCAAAGGTAAGTGCTTGGTAGCATGCTGGACGCCCACACAGACTCCACAGGACTGAGGAGGGGTCAGGTTGCTGGGTAGAGAACAGTGGGAACCTGGACTGTTGTGAAGAATTTAGCAGCACTTGGCTGCTAAAAAAATAACTGGCTCATTTATTACTCCTCTCTATTGTTCTAACAGCAGCCTGGACATTACGTCCCAGTCTTCTCAGTGCCAGTGCAACATGGGGTTCTGTGTGCTTGTTTTAGTCTAAAACCATCCTAGTGGTTCAGCATGTGAACCTCCATTCCATTCAAATCAGTGCCAGGGAAATGTGGCTGGATTAGTCTGTGGCTTTTGTGCCCCCATACTGCTGGGGTTTCCACTGTTGCTCAAAGTCCAGTGGAGAACCCTAGCCCTAGAGGGAAAGGACAGGCTGTCTCAGCCATTTCCTGCATATGACCATGTGGGTACCTGACTGAGCTTCCGGAAGATCTAGGGTAGTAATATCCTACTCCTATAGTGACAAGAAGCAGGAGGACAACAGTGTGAGATTAAGTACAGTTAATGGCCAAGTGCTTCCTGCTGTGCCTGCCCTGACCATGGAAAGCCATTCCCCTGCCCTCTTGGGAGAGGGACCAGTAGTTGAGGTAAAGCAGTAAAACTGCACGTTTTCTAATGCACAGTTGGAGTTTTGGCAAATATGTGCAGGTGTGGCCCCACCACTGCAGTAAACTGGAGCCATCCTTAAAAAGTACCTCTGTCCCTCTGCAATCCCCCTTCTCACCCACCCTGGTGACCACTGACCATTCTTTGGCCTTTTTTACCTTTTTTTCACTGTTAGTGGAATTACATTGTGTATAACCTTTTTTGATAGACTGCCAGGGGCCTAGATTGTTCCTTGTGCTCCCATCCACCCAGGTTTCTCTGCAGAGCAAGATCTTGGCCCTCTTTAGCACAAGACTGATGCTGGGAAACCTGCACGTGAGGCACTGTGAACAGCGCTCCTGTCTCCTGTGTATTAGACACTGGACTCAGGTTCACTCCCGACTCTTGGTGTAGTTTCTCCCCATGGCTTGTGTTTGTGGTGAATTGCCAACTGTTCAGCCCCTTGGCCCCTCAGCACTTGTCTTGGGTATTGACAGTGGCCAGAATACTGTTGAGGGTGACCTCATGGGGAATAGTGAGGTTCTTTATTTTGTAAGCTCTCATTTCTTTCATTGAGTGGATGAAAAGACAAAACTGCATCTCTCCCTTCATCAAAAATAATGTGAATCAGTCAACAGCATGTGATTTTTTGGGGGAAGAGTTGTATGGACTTTGTTTATCAATGAAATAGTCCCAGAGAACTTAAGAGGTACAGATTGCACATAGTTTATTCAGCAAAGTGTGTGTATCCAGTCACGGAAAATGATCCATGTCTTGGGCCCTTCATTAGAACCATTCAGATGGACTTTCCAAGTGCAAAGTGACAGCCCTTGGTGGCACCCGCATGTTCAGTTTCTGCTGCACCTCTGTGGCCATGAGGTTCCTGAGAGGCCTGATGGTGTGCTTGTAGCCGCCTTCTGCAGGCAAAATTGCAACCTGATTTTCCCTCTAAAGTGGTGGAGAGTATATACATGTCTTATTTGTGTGTCTTTCAGTTCACGAACCAGTTCGTATTGCCTATGACAGGCCTCGGGGTCGTCCTGTGTCCAAAAAAAAGGTGAGCTTGATGATTTGAAAGTCCTATACGTGATGTAGTCAATTAGGACTTACTGGGCTCAAAAGGTCACTGTGACCTGTGACTATGTTGTATCATACCCTACACTGGGGTCAATATGTAAAGCATTACAAGCAACCTTTTCTCCAGTGACCACTTTTGGCCTTTGCTCTGCACAGAACCCAGGAGGGTGGGTATTAGTCCATTTAACAAATGATTGAGACCAGGGCGGAGGTGGAGGTGGGGCGGGGGGAGGCGTGGGGTTTGAAGAATTGGATAAGGTGCTATCTCAGCCATGGAGAAGTTCTTTGATTATGGTGAAGAGCGCTCTGCTTTGCTGGCAGGCCTAGCACTTGTGTGTTCCTCAGCATTCACAACCCCTATGCACCAGGCCCCGTCTGCTCCCAGAAGGCAGCAGTGAACAGGGCCCAGAATAACAGAGGTGAGTGAGGGGTGCTTTGGGTGCAGAGAAGCAGTTGATGGGAGGTGAGGGGAACCGAGCTCACATAATCTCTGCAGATGAACGACATCAGCATTGTGATCCCTTCTCAGGGAGAGGCCCTCAAGGACCATAGTAGGGCCTTTTGGGCAGAAAACATGACAGGATGGCACTGCCATTGGCTTAAATGGGGAGGCCCCCTGTGGATTATGTCATTGGAAGAAGATGGGGTACACTACATATGGTCAGGCAGATACTTGTGGGGCAAGTGAGGTCACCAGGACATGTGCAGAGGATTTTAGGTCCTTAGAGGTCAGAGAGCTGAACGAGGCACTGAGGCAGTGACACAGAGAGTTAGTCTTAGCCCCATTATGAGAAGGAGGAGGAAATTTCCTGCTCCCACAACTTGAAACGCAAACCAGTATACTAACTTTTAAGTGCAGCAGCACCCATCTGTGGTCTGGCTGAGGAGCCACTCTCAGTGTAAAGTGGAGCAGCCTCAACTACCCTGCAGGGAGTGAAATACCCTGAGAGTTGAAGGAAACTTGTGAACCCCTGATGTCCTGCACACTGAGGTCTCCAGAGGCAACTGCTTGCAGGAGGAGGCATCCACCCAGCTCCCTGGCTTCCAAGCATGGCCTTTCTCCAGGACATCGTCAGGGTGACTGCTAGAAACAAATTGAGTACCCAGAATGGTCTGTCCAGGCCAAGCTGCTTTCCCAAAGGGGCTCAGCCCTGCTATCTGAGACCCATGACCAGTCTTTCCCTTCCCCACCTGCTCTGGGGCAGGAGGGCATGACAGAGACCCCATGTCATCTCAGTGGGCATATTCTAGCTCCTCTCTTCTGATGGCAAGGGGTTCCAGGGCTGGCAGCTCCTGCCTATCATTCCCTAGCCCTTGGCCTGTGCACTCTCCTGGACAGCTGTTTGTCTCTCTTCTTCCTCAGCTAACAGCATGACACCTGCCTGAGTCCTTGTCTGCCTTGCTAGATACCCTGCAGGCTTATTTCACCCACACCAGTAACCTGTATACACACATACATGGACATCCACATGTACAAACTCCTTCAGGTGTACTTCTCTACATATGGATGAACTTGTTTACAATTCCCTTTCTAGGGGAAGACTGGGTAGTGGAAGGGCCTGTGCAGATGAGTCAGGAGGCTTTGGGGTGTCAGTGCCAGGCCCTGCAAGGGCAAACCTTTATCTTAGGTGCTTCTCTGCAGTCGCTTGCACCCTCTTCTCTCTCCTCAGAAACCCAAGGACTTTGACTTTGCCCAGCAGAAGCTGACTGACAAGAACCTAGGGTTCCAGATGCTGCAGAAGATGGGCTGGAAAGAGGGCCATGGCCTGGGCTCCTGCGGGAAGGGCATCAGGGAGCCCGTCAGTGTGTACGACAGGCGCTGGGCGGGTGGGGGGTGCCAAAGCTTTCTGTGGGATTCTGGCCCAATACCTTTAACCTGTAGCCTGGTTCTTGGTTTCTGTACATTGAGCATGGCTTCAAACTGGCAGTTTTTTCCTCTTTAACAAAGGTGTTGTTAGGTGAGATGAGAGCGATTGTTTACACGTGACGTTCTCATAGACTCAAATTGGCTTTGTGTTTGGGCCACATTTGAGTGGTGGTTCTGGTTAGTTACACCAACAACCACTTTCCCTTTTCTGAGACCTTGAGCAACTAGCCAAACTGGGAGAATGTGGCCCAGGGTTTAAGCCTTATTAACATCCAGCAGGCATTTCATTAATACCAAGCTTTGCACCTGCTGGGGGGGTTTCTGCTGTAATTGGGCTCTGAGCACACTCTCAGGTCTGCATACCTACACAGGTGAGTACCCCTTGTTCCCCTTTGCTGTCACTGTGTGTCCTCTGGTGACCAGACTCTGGGCTTGGTGTCACTAACACTCTGTTTTGCCCCTCAGGGGAACTGCCTCAGAAGGGGAGGGGTTGGGTGCTGATGGACAGGAGCACAAAGAAGACACATTTGACGTGTTCCGTCAGCGGATGATGCAGATGTACAGACACAAACGGGCAAACAAATAGGTATGCGTGTAAGCTGCATGGAGGCATGTGCCTGAGCTGATGTTTCTTCCCAAACTAGTGTTCCCTGTACCCCAAAATGCCAACAGAAAAACACATCGAAAACTTCTCTGTAGGAAATAAAAGGAGTCTTTGGATGCAGATGTGCCTCACTCTCAGTGTCCAGGTTTGGCTGAAGGAGTGAGCCCCATACTTCCCAAGCATAATTGCTGTACCTGTCAGCAAGGCCTAGGAGCAAGGCTCCTGGGCTGGACCGCATGCAGCTATCCATGGAAACAGGCGGCCACGCGTGTGGCCTTCCATCCTGCAAGTGTGAGGGCGAGCTGGAGGATGACACTTTGCTAACTCCCTTTCTGAGGGTCTTCAGATTCTTTTCCTTCAAGTGTGGGTATATAACTCATCATCTTTCACCTCTCTTTTTAGTTGCCCTTCCCAACCATCATTTCCAACTCCATTTTGAACAAAATCATTCTCTCCCTGAATAGATCAAAACCATTGGTGAGAAAGATCAGGCTTGAAGCAGCAATTACTCTTAAAACGTCAGCTCTGCCCGGATCTGCCCTGGAACCAGTGCCCACATACGGTTTGGTGTGTACCAGAGACAATTGTCTGCAGTTTATCGTGTGGGTTTTCCTCTGACTATACTTTTTCTTAGAGAAAGAAAGAATGCATCATTTCCAATCTGCTTCTGCCCTTCCTCTCCCCCATGTGCCTTTGCAGCAGATCCCTCTGGATCTGCCATGACCCCTCAAAGGCAGCGCTGCCCAGGGGCACACCAGGGCTCTCAGTGCCCAGGAACCAGCTGTGCAGCCTTCCCGACCAGAAGTCTCTGTCAGTGCCTTTAGACCATAGTTAGATCTGTTGTCTTATTCTCTAGGAGGTGAGCAGAATAGAGATGGGGAATAGCTAACTGTGCCCTGGGACCACCACCTGTTGGCTAGAGCACTGAGGCCCCTTGAACAAGGGAGATACTCAGTTGACAAATGTGGTGTTTATGAAGTCTCTTAAATACCTTCCAAGAGACTGAGACATACTTTAGCAGCAATATGATTTAGCTCTGTTCAGTGGGGAGTAATTGTTAAACTATGAAACTTTTCATGTCTTTTTGGAATCCACATAGCAAGCTGCAGTTTGATTTCTTTTACCCACATATGGAGTGTCTGCTGTAATGGGGGGAGGGGTGTGAACTCCTCAGGACTCTTCGTTTTCTGCACGTGTGGCAGTGTAGAGACTTGTTTTATTAGGGCCTTTGTGCGAAGCAGAAAGCATTCTCTCGGGGTAGGCTCTGCAGCTGTTTGCTATTTCAAGGCATATGATTGCCACCCCTTCTAGCTTCTTGTAGCAAACATGCGGAATCCTTGGGCTTTTGGAATCTCAATCCTCATAAAGTAGCAGTGTTGAAGTTTTAAATATGTGCTAAAATTTGGAAAACTTGGGATCCTGCTGATAACAGTTTAGGGAACGCAGCAGTGAGTTACCATGTCGGCTGCTGTTACTGGCTCTTAAGAAAATCTTACTTTCTCAAAGCCACTGGCCTCCCACTGTCTTCTGTCTGGTCTGTGTCCTGAGCCCTTGGTCACAGGCCTGTGCCACCTCCCTTTTCAGGAGCAGCCTAGGAACTGTGCTTGCTTCCGGTCTCTTCCATTTGGCAGTCAGCACATCGATATTGCCCTGGACCTGACTCATCTGCAGGGGCGGTGAGGTTTGGGGGAACCACAGCTATGGGGCACTTCTGCTCTCTTCTCTCCTGATTCTTCCTGTAGCCTTCCATGTTGTCAGTGGTCAGGAACCACGGAATTCTTTGGCTCTTTCTCTAACTCTATCATGTTTGCTCTGTTCTCATAATGTTCATTGTTGACTTTCTCCACTTTTATTTAAAAGTCAGATGTTTTAGGAAATCCTGGTATATGAACCCTGTCCCCACAGCCTCCTGCCACCCCTCCTCTTGGGGACACTTGCTTTGCGCTGACAGTGAGAACCTTTGGCAGATGTCAGAGGAAACACTCCCTTGAGCCTGCAAAGTCCTGCCAGCACCAGGTGGTGCCTTGCCTGTGAATTGGACAACCAGGTGGTGAAGGCACGGCAGGGAGCCAGGAGGCATACCTGTGTCCTGCTGGCTGTCGGCCAGAGGCCAGCGCACTGCCCTTTGCAGGAGCCTGGTGCAAGCATGTGTGTGGTTGCAAGACCTTGTCAAAGTCACAGTGTTTTTTCTGTCATTCTAGTTCCAGGGTCTTCCGTGAGGACGACAGGCATCCGGAAAGTGCTAACTCACCACTTTGGGTGCTTACTGTCTCTGGCTTGTTTCCATCACTGGAAATCACATAGAGAATTTTAGCATTTTTGGTCCTTGGTAAAACCTAGAAGACATTTGTGATGTTACAAAATGGAAGTTTTTGGGTTTTTTTAATCTCAGAAGTTGTGAATGTTGTTAATCACTTAGTTGCAATAAATGTAGTAGAAACCCAATTTTCATGATCTCCATTGATGTATTTTGAAAATCAGACCAGTATGGGAATACGTGGTAGGTGTTATGGGGCCACCGTGGAGCCAGGTAACATGTTCTAGGGCATGCCCTCTGCCTGCCCGGGGACCTTGCTGACAGATTCACAACAGTCACCAGCCTTGCCAGGCTGTTTCAGAGAGCAGATTTGACCACGACCAAGCATAGGGAGGTCGCATCCTGTTGGAGAGATAGGGTGTCTACCGCTGGGTGTCAAGATGTGGGAGTTCTGCTCCTTAAGACTTCCCCACTGCCAGGATCATGACTCCATGATGAGGATCTGGCCCATGGGGCATCCTTCTGCTCCCACGTGCTCCTAGCCTGTGTGATCCCTCCACCAGCAGCCCCTCGCCTGGCCCTTCAGTGAGGAGTGAGGCGCAGGGCACAGTAACGGAGCAAGCCTGACACCCATGGACCTGGTGGGGCCCCCACTTGAGCATGGCATGACAGGAAGGAGCCAGGGCTCCTTGGGACCTCCTCCCTGCTCTGTCCCCAGGACCCTCAGGAGTGGCAGGGACCCATGACCATGATCTTCCCATACATCTGCTTCCATCTTCCAAGGGCTGGTCTCTGCTGTCGCTCACTTCCTGAGAAAGTCCCCTGCTCCCTCCTGGAGAATACAGGTCATGCCACCTCAGGCCTCAGGTTCCCCTCTGCAGTTGGAGGATTTCTTCAGTTTGGAAGAAAAGTTTCCTCCTTTGTGATTCAGGACTACCCACTCTTTGTCCGGGAGGGCTCTGCCCTCCCTAGCCTCTTAGCACTGAGCTGTGATGCGTGTGTGTGTACACAGTCATCTGTGTTTTAATACATGCAAACATGACTGTTCAAGCAACACATGTATATTTTCTTTGTAAAAGATGGGGGAAAAACAACCTAAATGTATTTAGAACAAAGAACAGTTTCCCCCTTCTCACTTCCACATACCAATAAAGTGAAATGGATAAAATATCACACCAGAAACTTTCTTCCTCACACACTGGAGGTCCTGCAGCCCCTCCACAGGGTGGACTCCCAATTGCTGTGTGAATAGTGACAGCCTACTCACACAGAAGACACGGAAGTGTGTACTCTGTGAAAATACCTTCCCGCCCATGGCACTGGTCTGGGATCTGTAAGATGTATAAACAGGCGTGTTCTAGCTGGAGCCCTTAATGCAACAGCACAACTGCACATTCTATTCTACAGTGACTTTTTTTCACTTAAAAATGTACATATGTCTACGATGGGCTGTTACTTACACAAGCCTGCTCCTGTTGCCACGGGGCTGTTCCTAAGCTTTAGCTCCTACATTCGAGAACTCTTGTTTATAAAGACCCAATGGATCCTCCCCACAGTCTCCCCCATTCCTGACCCCTTCATGGCATTTCTGTGCCATTCAACTTTGGCTGCAGCCTGCCAGTGACCACATTTGCCCAACTGTGCCTGTGGGAGCTATGGACTGAGGAACTGCAGCTGTTCCCACCGGTGCCCACCCCTTCTCTATACTCAGGACACAGACCAGCTGACACCCCAGGTTCCCCCACCCAACATTGTTCTAGAACCTGTGTTGTAGAGGCTAGCAGTCTAAACCTGCCCTCCCTGTTGAAATACTCCCAACACCCAGTGGTCACCCATTGCCCAGCACAAGGGAATCAAGGCTGGTGTGTCTCACAACCCACCCTCCCTGGGCCATAGAGACGGGACCCTCCATGCCTCAGTTTTCTCTGTGAACCGGGGTGGAGACTTGCAGGGTTTCTATAAGACCCTCATGGAGAGGGTTTAAAGTTGATGTTTGTTCATCCTCTGTACCCTTGTCCCTGGGCCTCAGTTTCCCTTCCTGTGAAGTGGACATCCTACCTTCCACTGCCTGCCTGCTCAAGGGCAGGACCACATCTCCAAACAGCCTGCTTCAGAGACGGAAGGGATGCAAGGGTCCACTGAAGAGAAAATTGTCACCCTCCTGTGTGTTGAGGGAGTGGACAGTTGAGAGGACAAGCCAGGTGACAGTGCTTCGACTGTAGCCACTGACCTGCCAGCTGTTCCACCCTCTTGTACAGATGGGGAAATGGAAGCCCAGAAAGAAGAGTCTTGTCAAAGTCTTTGTAACTGGAATCTGTTTCCCCATTTTGGTTCAGGCTGGTAGTGTGTGGCACAGCAGCAACCTTTCCAGCTAGCTGTTGGGACTCTGGGGACAAGGTTAAGTTCCTACTCTTTTTTTTTAAATGAAGTTAAAAATTTTTATTTACTTATTCATACAAGAACTGGGGATTAAGCCAGAGGTACCAGGGGGGAGAGGGAGGATTCACCAGAGACAGAGTGGGGAGCAAAACAAGTGGATCTACTGAAACACACTGCTGAGGGGAGCAGCAGGCGAGACAGGAGAGGTCTGCTGCACCATGTGGGTATCTCCCTGGCCGGGGATCAAACTTGTGCTGCAGTGGCTGCTGATAGCTTCATAGTGCTGAGACTTAACTCCTTGCACCACCAGGGAGGCCCCTAAGTTCCTACCTTTGAATGTCATGTTGACAAGGCTGTGAATCCGTCCTCTACCATCAATGGGGATGATTCTCCACCCTGCCCCGGGTTTGTGGGACCTCCAAGACTTGCTTCCCAGGTCCTTCTCCAGGCAGCCTGCCCTACTCTCCCCAGGCCTGTACCTGACCACCTGGGCTGATGGGGCATCCTACTAACTGTCTCGTCCAGAATGGCACTTGAGGGCTGGACCCCTAAACCACCCCCCGCACAAAATAAATGTTTAATGAATGGACAATGCATATGTTGTACTAGGTGGGGCTCACCTTCGGGTAGACAGGCAGACCGAGTATAGTCCCACAGGGACATGACGTTAGATGACCCTGACCCCTGCCTTCTGGGACTCCCATCGACTTGGTTCCTAACCTAAGATTATAAAGTATGAGTTAAAGGAGCCAAAAGTGCCATTAATTGAAAGTCCCCTACTGCAGTATTTATATGCTATTTTCAAATACCGCGTTTGGTTGAATAGAAATAGAAACACAAACTCAAATATTTAAATACACAGTAATGAAAAATTCTGGAAAACTCCATATCCACATACTAAAGGGGTTCCTTTGGGAAGTGGGCTGAGCTGTAGGGGATTTCTCACTATCACCTCATACATTTCTGTGTGGTTTGAAATCTTTATTTATATGACTTTAGAGTGTCCAAAAAGTTAAGTGTTTATGAAAACATGGATGATAAACAGCCCTGGGTTCGTCTGACAGTCAAAAGAGGTCATGGGTATTGACTTCAGAATCTGGAGAACAGATTATAAACTGTGACAGAACTGAGTGTCAGTGGCCTTTCTGGATTCAAATCCAGTGGAGACCTGACCACTTCTCAGTGGAGAAACTGAGGCCAGGGTTGGCCTGATTCCAAATCCAGATCCTAGACACCAGCATTTCCAGTTGGTTTCATATGGTTTCAAAGCTTCTCATCCACACATGCACTAAAAATGCTCAAGCAGGGTCTCCCCGGTGGCGCAGCGGTTGAGTGCTGGGTTGCGAAGCTGCCCGCAGCCTCTGCAGCACTGGTTCGATCCCTGGCTGCTCCCCGGCCACTGGAGGAGGGTCCCACATGGCGCACAGACCTCTCCTGCCGCCCACTGCTCCCCTCAGCAGTGTACATCAGTCCTCCTGCCTGCTCTGCTCCCCACTCTGGCTCTGGTGAATTCTCTCACCCTCCTGCGCTTTTGACTGTACCCAGTGCTTGTATAAATAAATAAATAAATAAATAAATAAATAAATAAATAAATAAATCTTTTAAAAAAAAAATAAAAAAATAAAAATGCTCAAGCAACTAAAAATGCACGCGTGTGCAACATTCACACACCCATACATGTGTACCACACACATGCATACACACAGACGTGCACACGCGGACTCAAAGACATACACACATGCCCACGTGCATGTGCACAAACACAAGAGATGTGCGTGCACATATGAACACCCACCTGAGTCACACACATGGGCATATACAGACACGCGTGCTGCCCTTTCTATCTCTCAAGCCCATCAAGGCTCTGGGAAACCTTCACTCAGGATTCCAGCTGACCTTGAATCTGATAGCTGCTTCCCTGCAATCCCAGAAGGGGGACCTCATGAGCTGAGCTCTGCTCTGCTTGACTTCTACTTCCTCAGGAGAGCACTGCCTCCAGTTCCTCCAGTTCCAGGAGTGAGAGGTGAGGTCTCACTTCTGGATTTCTGGCCCATGACTTGATGACTTGCTTTTACCTGGAGTGAACTCAGAGCACAGCAGAACTTGCAGGTTTGAACTCTCAGTCTTAACATCCACCTGTACTATGTGCCTGGGGGCGGGTGATTCACGTCTGAGCCTCAGTTTCCTCCCTTGCAAAATAAGAGAGCAGCAGCACCTACAGCAAGGTTCCGAGGATCAGTCCTAGGACTCTGAGAAGCTCGCGGATGCCCGCAGTACTATGCCAGAGTCTGTCACAGGCGTCCTTCCCCATTCCTCCTCCTAAAAATTGTTTTCCAAGTCCTGACCTAGACCTGGTGATGTGATGGAAGGGCCACATCGGTGACCCTGAAGGACTCACGTTAGCCCTGGTGGCCTCAGTTTCCTCATTGGTAGAATAAGGACAGTCGTCTCTGGTGCATTAGCTGAGAAGTGGGGTTGTGCAGGAATTCAGAGGAAAGTGGTGCACACAGTTGACAAATTCCTGAGGAGAGTCCCCTCATTGACCATAAGCCCAGCCCCAGATTAGCTATGCTGATACCCAGCCTTTGCCTGTGCTGGTGGGATGGCACACCCTTCCTTGCTGGCATGCCTGAGGATTCCCCAACCTTTTTGTTTCTATGATAGAAAATTCACATAACAAAATGAACCATTTTAAAATGAGCCATCTAGAGGCATTTAATATATCCACAATGTTGTGCAAGCACCACCTCTATCTAGTTACAGAACATTCCGTCACCCCAAATGGAGACCCTCTCTCCCTCACTCTCCACCTC